CATTGTTGCTCTGTTATATTATTTCTCTTACTTTTCCTTTCAGTTCACACTGCTGATCTTTAACTTATGTCCTCACATATGTCTTAAGCAGATATGTCCTGTTTTCAAGGATTATTCTTTTGTCCAGAAGCATGTTCCTTGCTCCTCCACAACTTTTGCATATATCATATAAGTCCTCCTGGGCATGAGGTCTGTAATTTGATAGCTTGACTGCATATCGTGGATCTGCTTGTTTCCCATATGTGCTCAATTGTTTATTATTTGTATGTTGAAATGCTATAGTTTTGTTGTCTCTTACTAGGCATTTTCTTCAAGAGCTATTGCAGTTGGGAGCAGTTGCAATTAGCCCTGATGAGCGTGTACTTTCGGTTGATGAATTGGCTGACCAGATTGCTGAAGTTCTCAACTATTTTGGGTAATTATATTATGACATAATTTTTGTTCATTCCTTATTAGTTGTTTGCTGAAAGGAAATTTTCTTTAATAACCTCTCATTTGCTCCAGATTTTTTATGATTTCATTATTGTCTTAAATGTCTAGTAAAGCCAAAATGATGTAAATCGAGACACCTACATATTTAAAAGGCTATAAGTTTATTTTTCTGTATGATGATCATTTTCTTTTGGAAATAATTAATTGGAAGCCAACTGATGTATCTCTTTTTTTCTTCTTCTAGACTTGGTGCAGTGATGTGTATGGGGGTTACAGCAGGAGCTTACATTCTTACCCTATTTGCTGTAAGTTATCTCTCTTGGTACTGCACACTTATCCTTTGTTCTCTTTTATCCTTTATATATATATATATATATATCCTGGGAGTGTGTATTAACTAGTCTAAGTTTGATATCTATTAATAACAGATAAAATACAGGCAACGAGTGCGTGGTTTGATACTAGTTTCTCCTCTATGCAAAGAGCCTTCTTGGACAGAATGGTTCTGTAATAAGGTTTCATATCTGAACTTCTTCATCATTGGTTGGAAATTAAAGAATCTTCGTCTTACATAAGCCTTGATATTTTGTGCAGGTGATGTCAAACTTACTCTACTTCTATGGCATGTGTGGAGTGGCGAAGGAGTTATTGCTAAAGCGATATTTCAGCAAGGTATTCTCCTTCTTCAGGTTTATCCCTTTTAATGTGAATTTTTGTTTCCAGAATCGGATTTTATTGACTTATTGTATTCTGACTACTGATGGCAGGAAGTTCGTGGTAGTGCCCTAGTACCTGAATCTGATATAGTTCAGGAATGCAGAAGAGTTAGTCCTTCAGCTTTTTCTTATCTCATTGATTTGCAATAAGCGTTTATTTGCCAGAAGTATATAAATTATGGGTTGTTAAGCACTAAGCTCTATTCTGACTTCAAAATTCATATGTTTCTTTCCTCAGCTGCTGGATGAAAGGCAGACTGCAAATGTCTGGCACTTTCTTGAAGCAATTAATAGGTAATGCCTGCTTACCAAGATAGTTTAATGTTGCTAATCACTCAAAGATGAAACAGTGACATTCATTCAATCACTTAAACTTCTTGGTCTGATATCTACAAAATATTTCTATCTGGCAGGAGACAAGACCTTAGTGAAAGGTTGAGGAAACTACAATGCCGCTCTCTAATATTTGTTGGGGAGAACTCTCCATTCCATTCGGAGGCCGTTCACATGACTTCAAAAATAGATAGAAGATATAGTGCCTTAGTTGAGGTATATGCACACAAGTGTGTATCTTTCATTTTATGACATTTATGTAATTGAGCCTCAATTGTTTCATGATTTGGTAATGTATAGGTTCAGGCATGTGGGTCAATGGTAACAGAGGAGCAGCCTCATGCTATGTTGATTCCAATGGAGTATTTTCTCATGGGATATGGATTATACAGGCCGACGCTAAGTGTAAGCCCTAGAAGCCCGTTGAGTCCGTGTTGCATCTCTCCAGAGCTTCTCTCACCAGAAAGCATGGGCCTGAAGTTAAAACCAATAAAAACTCGACTTTCTACATGAATCTGAAAGAAGATGAAATCGAGCAAGGTTCCGTTTTTGTGATAAGTTTTTTGAAGGTGTTTGTAGTATCTTTTGATTGGTGGGGTTGATAAAATAGTAAATTAATAGGAGCTTTGTAGATAGAGAAAAAAGGAGGAAAGATACTAGGAACATATTAAATAGAAATCAGATATCATTCTTTTATATGTATCCATAAAGGCTAGTAGTGAATGGCCTGAGTCATCTGTAAATCCTCATGAATAATTTTCCAGCGACAAGATAATAAAAGATAATATAAAGACGTGCACGATGAGCTTCTTGTGATTTATCAGCTTGTAAAGTATATATGTTATTGGGTTGATGGGTTCGTATCAAATTTGATTCATTCCATTTTTTTAGCTGGCAGTGGATGATCGAACAGTTATGCCTTTGTATAGTTTTGAAATTCCAGCAGCTAAAGATTGAATGACAAGCAGGTGTGCAGCTGTTAAAGGTGGAATTAATTGCTTCTACGCTTTTTCTATCTGTACGCGCTACTCACTACTCAGTAGTCAGTAGTTTTTTAATGCTAAAGAAAGATTGGTGACAGAACTTTTCAGGATTAAAATATGGAGATTCTGTGTGAAGCTCTAGAAGGGAAAAGGTGAATGGAATTGTTAGAAGGGTCGATCGGATTTGATATTTGGTGGGCATGTTGCATTTTACCTGAAATCGTCGCTTCTATCTTTGGTAAATTGTTGATGGTGAAGCACTACAGACACATTTTCCTCCAATCGTTTTCAATTGAAATGGCCAGGTCAATTATTGGAATGGAAAGAACAATAAACAATAACAGATGGTGGCGTTTATGGCCATATGGTTATTAAGGAATTTCAAGATTCATTGTATCCTGGACCTGGAGTCACCGACTGAAATGTGGGAAGAGATAATGAAATAACATAGTGCTTGAGCATTTACGAGGCAAGGACTGTTGGTGGGGTCTAAGTCTATCCATTTGAGACTGAACAATCATCAACCCATTCTGCTTAGCTTTTCTTTAGTCTAGATCGTGTTGATTAATGTGAACTGGGTAGAAATAAAGAAGACATTCGTGTAGCTTCAACTTCCACACAATTCTGGCTCCCGTGTAAAATTGTTGGGTCTTGGGTTGACTGGTTTAACTGGTTTGACAGTCCGGTCAAATTAGCTGTTCAAAAGTTTAAAATTTAGCAAATACATTCCTATAAATGACAATTAAGTCTTTACAAGTTTGAATTTAGCAAACACACCCCAATTACAAATCGACAATCGACTAGTTGACAGCGACAACACACCAAACGCAATCCCAATCATCCCTTGAGCCATTCTCCAGAAAATCTATTCAAAATTTGGCCAAACTCAGTTCGATATTTTGGCACCTGTGTAAAATTGAGTTACCTTTTATTTTAATGGAAACCCATGTTTTAATAACCAACCGGCGTGAAACCTGACAAAGTTGTTGGGTCCTGGGTTGACTTGTTTAACTGTTTTGACTGGCCGGTCAAACTAGGTGTTCAAAAGTTTAAAATTTAGCAAATACACCCTATAGATTACAGTTAAGTCTCTACAAGTTTGAAATCTAGCAAACACACCCCAATTACAAATCGACAGTCTACTAGTTGGCTGTAGCAACACACCAAATGCAATCCTAATCATCCCTTGAGCCATTCCCCATAAAATATACCCAAAATTTGGCCAAAATCAATTCGATTTCGGCTACATCTCACCATCGTCGGCGTCAACAACCCATGCCAAATCTCTCACCACCACCGGTGTCAACAACCCTCCCCAGTACCATGAAAATACTCCCCTCAACCTCCTGACCAAAACCCATCTCACTCCACCCTCGTTCGCATCGCCAATCGTCGGCAATAGCTGCAGGTAATTTCAATTTTTGATCGATTCACTCACCGAAAACCACTTCCATTGCCACCATTGCATTCATCGACCCTTTCTCTTTAAAACCTCAAACATCTTGACCTTCAATTGTTTGACGATCATCATCCCAATTTCTAGGATTTTCGGTGAATAGGAAAATTGGTAACCCGGCCTGGTGAAGGCCCTAGGTCCCAGTTGAACCGATTCAACTAGTCAGGCTAGGTTTTAAAACATTGATGGAAATGACTATTTTGGGCTTTAATTTATAGGGGTGTTCGATTCTGGGTATCCTACATTTTTTGAAGGAACCGAAACTGACAGTTCTGGTTCTAGTTCCAGGTACCCTGTAAAATTCATTATCCCCCAAAAGTTTTTAAAAGGATAAAAAAACCCTTAAAAACTTACAAGTACCCTCGCACCTAACACTTGTTAACAAAAATAAAATTACAAACTCCATTACTTTGTAAAGATAGATTCTCAAAAGTCAAACCAACTTCCTTTAAATGTTATGAAATATAAATATAAATGTATTCACACTACTTTTTCTACAAAAGTTTTTATTAACCCACCTACTCTTTAATTTTATTTTATATTAATCCCGGTTCCCGGTTCCTAACTGTAGGAATCGGAACCGAAACCAAACAGTGACGGTTCCAAAAATTTGGAACCAAAACCTACCCGTTAACGGCTGGTTCTAAGTAAGAACCAGAACCAAACCCTGGTTACCCATCATTCTGGTTCCAATCGATTCTTTTGATCACCCTTATTAATTTATATTAATATGATACCTAGGCTGCCAATAGAGTAATGAATAAGCATGCAGGAAGAGGTTATTTCTGAAAACTAGCGCCCAAAAACTCATCAGTTAAGATGACCCAAATTTGAGAAGCTTTTCCATTTTTACAGTTGAAGATGAAATAAATACCAGCTTTATTAACTAATATTTTCACCATTTTTCTCTTTCAAATTCAAGACTCAATACTTACCCATCATTGATGAATCATAGCACAAAATAGTTGGCAATGGCATGTAATTTAGTAAGAGTTGTCGATTTGTTTGATGGATATTCATGTCAAACCGATAAGAAAATAATTACTCAATATATATACACTTAATAGTTATAAAAATGTTATGGATGTGTTCCTTTCCTATTCAAAGACAAATTATAGCTCCCATTCTTCACCTTCAATGCAAAGAGCCTTCTTGGACAGAATGGTTCTGTAATAAGGTTTCATATCTGAACTTCTTCATCATTGGTTGGAAATTAAAGAATCTTCGTCTTACATAAGCCTTGATATTTTGTGCAGGTGATGTCAAACTTACTCTGCTTCTATGGCATGTGTGGAGTGGCGAAGGAGTTATTGCTAAAGCGATATTTCAGCAAGGTATTCTCCTTCTTCAGGTTTATCCCATTTAATGTGAATTTTTGTTTCCAGAATCGGATTTTATTGACTTATTGTATTCTGACTACTGATGGCAGGAAGTTCGGGGTAGTGCCCTAGTACCTGAATCTGATATAGTTCAGGAATGCAGAAGAGTTAGTCCTTCAGCTTTTTCTTATCTCATTGATTTGCAATAAGCGTTTATTTGCCAGAAGTATATAAATTATGGGTTGTTAAGCACTAAGCTCTATTCTGACTTCAAAATTCATATGTTTCTTTCCTCAGCTGCTGGATGAAAGGCAGACTGCAAATGTCTGGCACTTTCTTGAAGCAATTAATAGGTAATGCCTGCTTACCAAGATAGTTTAATGTTGCTAATCACTCAAAGATGAAACAGTGACATTCATTCAATCACTTAAACTTCTTGGTCTGATATCTACAAAATATTTCTATCTGGCAGGAGACAAGACCTTAGTGAAAGGTTGAGGAAACTACAATGCCGCTCTCTAATATTTGTTGGGGAGAACTCTCCATTCCATTCGGAGGCCGTTCACATGACTTCAAAAATAGATAGAAGATATAGTGCCTTGGTTGAGGTATATGCACACAAGTGTGTATCTTTCATTTTATGACGTTTATGTAATTGAGCCTCAATTGTTTAATGATTTGGTAATGTATAGGTTCAGGCATGTGGGTCAATGGTAACAGAGGAGCAGCCTCATGCTATGTTGATACCAATGGAGTATTTTCTCATGGGATATGGATTATACAGGCCGACGCTAAGTGTAAGCCCTAGAAGCCCGTTGAGTCCGTGTTGCATCTCTCCAGAGCTTCTCTCACCAGAAAGCATGGGCCTGAAGTTAAAACCAATAAAAACTCGACTTTCTACATGAATCTGAAAGAAGATGAAATCGAGCAAGGTTCCGTTTTTGTGATAAGTTTTTTGAAGGTGTTTGTAGTATCTTTTGATTGGTGGGGTTGATAAAATAGTAAATTAATAGGAGCTTTGTAGATAGAGAAAAAAGGAGGAAAGATACTAGGAACATATTAAATAGAAATCAGATATCATTCTTTTATATGTATCCATAAAGGCTAGTAGTGAATGGCCTGAGTCATCTGTAAATCCTCATGAATAATTTTCCAGCGACAAGATAATAAAAGATAATATAAAGACGTGCACGATGAGCTTCTTGTGATTTATCAGCTTGTAAAGTATATATGTTATTGGGTTGATGGGTTCGTATCAAATTTGATTCATTCCATTTTTTTAGCTGGCAGTGGATGATCGAACAGTTATGCCTTTGTATAGTTTTGAAATTCCAGCAGCTAAAGATTGAATGACAAGCAGGTGTGCAGCTGTTAAAGGTGGAATTAATTGCTTCTACGCTTTTTCTATCTGTACGCGCTACTCACTACTCAGTAGTCAGTAGTTTTTTAATGCCAAAGAAAGATTGGTGACAGAACTTTTCAGGATTAAAATATGGAGATTCTGTGTGAAGCTCTAGAAGGGAAAAGGTGAATGGAATTGTTAGAAGGGTCGATCGGATTTGATATTTGGTGGGCATGTTGCATTTTACCTGAAATCGTGGCTTCTATATTTGGTAAATTGTTGATGGTGAAGCACTACCGACACATTTTCCTACAATCATTTTCAATTGAAATGGCCAGGTCAATTATTGGAATGGAAAGAACAATAAACAATAACAGATGGTGGCGTTTATGGCCATATGGTTATTAAGGAATTTCAAGATTCATTGTATCCTGGACCTGGAGTCACTGACTTAAATGTGGGAAGAGATAATGAAATAACATAGTGCTTGAGCATTTACGAGGCAAGGACTGTTGGTGGGGTCTAAGTCTATCCATTTGACTGAGCAATCATCAACTGATTCTGCTTAGCTTTTCTTTAGTCTAGATCGTGTTGATTAATGTGAACTGGGTAGAAATAAAGAAGACATTCGTGTAGCTTCAACTTCCACACAATTCTGGCACCCGTGTAAAATTGTTGGCCTGGGTTGACTGGTTTAGCTAGTTTGAGCGACCGGTGTTCAAAAGTTTAAAATTTAGCAACTATACTCCTATAAATTATAGTTAAATCTCTACAGGTTTGAAATCTAGTAAACACACCCCAACTACAAATCGACGGTCGATTAGTTGGCCGCGACAACACACCAAATATAATCTCAATCATCTCTTGAGCCATTCTCCAAAAAATCTATCCAAAATTTGGCCAAAATCGGTTCGATATTCTGGCACCCGTGTAAAATTGAGTTTGATATGCATCATCCCACCCTTTATTTTAATGGAAACCAATGTTTTAATAACCAACAAACGTGAAATTGTTGGATCTTGGGTTGACTGGTTTAACTGGTTTGACCGACCGGTTAAACTAGGTGTTTAAAAGTTTAAAGTTTAGCAAATACCCCCCTTAAAGTACAATTAAATCTCTATAGGTTTGAAATCTAGCAAACACACCCCAACTACAAATGGACGGTCGATTAGTTGGCGGTGACAACACACCAAATGCAATCTCAATCATCACTTGAGCCATTCTCTAGAAAATCTACCCAAAATTTGGCCAAAATCAATTCGATTTCGGCTAGATCTCACCACCATCGACGTCAATAACCCAGGCCAAATCTCACCACCATCGGTGTCAACAACCCTCCCCATCATCATGAAAATACTCCTCTCAACCTCCTGAACAAAACCCATCTCACCCCACCCCCGTTCGCATTGCCAATAGTCGACAAAAGTTGCGGGTTTTTTTTCAATTTTCGATCGACTCACTCACCGAAAACCCCTTCCATTGCCACCATTGCATTCACCGACTCTTCCTCTTTAAAACCTTCAACATCCTGACCTCCAATTGTTCGATGATCATCTTCCCAATTTCTAGGATTTTCGGTGAATAGGAAAATTGATAACTCGGCCCGGTGAAGACCCCAAGTACTTGTTGAACCGATTCAACCGGCCGGACCGGGTTCTAAAACATTGATGGAAACGACTATTTTGGACTTTAATTTATGTTAATATGCTACCTAGGCTGCCAAGAGTAATGAATAAGCATGCAGAAAGAGGTTATTTCCGCAAACTAGCACCCAAAAAATCATCAGTTAAGATGACCCAAATTTGGGTGGCTTTTCCCTTTTTACAGTTGAAGATGAAATAAATACCAGCTTTATTAACTCATATTTTCACCATTTTTCTCTTTCAAATTTAAGACTCAATACTTACCCATCATTGATGAATCATAGCACAAAGTAGTTGGCAAAGGCATGTAATTTAGTAAGAGTTGTTGATTTGTTTGATGGATATTCATGTCAAAACGATAAGAAAATAATTACTCAGTATATATACACTTAAATAGTTATAAAAATGTTATGGATGTGTTCCTTTCCTATTCAAAGACAAATTATAGCTCCCATTCTTCACCTTCAATTCATCTTAAATCTTTGGTTGCTCAAACTTAAATGCCTCCGATTATTGCTGTTTGCTCCTTCATCATCCCTCCGAGCTTTTCGTCTGTTCATGTCTCTGTACATTTCTTCTATCATCGGTTTCCATAATCGAACACGAGCATTTATAAACCAATTCGATACCTGCTCATTTATCCCAGTAGAGATCAAAAACATTGCATGTCAACATATATTTCCTCTATTTTCACTTCATCAACCAAAATTAAAAGGCATTAATATGTTAGTACCTGGCTTCGGGTCAGTCCACTTTTCACCGCAAGTAAATGCTTCTCTGCATCTCTGGGATACCTGAAATCCGTTAGACAAACGTCAAATGATTTTATGTTCTAAGTGAAAACTGTTTTGATTTTGAACCCTTAACAACGCTTCGTATGCAAAAATGCAAAAATAATTCTCTAGTAAGAAAGCTCACGGATGAAGGAAGTTTTGAAACATCCATGCTCGTAAAATTGAGACAGATTTTTCGGGCAACCCTCTTTGGGGTCTCCATATTTGATTTTCTTTTTTCTTTAGCTGTTGGAGAGCCCATTGCTCCTTGATAAACGAATCTTCAAAACTTTTTTCCTTCCCTTTTGTGAATTCACCATCAAAATGTGCACTCATTGCAAGGATTTGATTGCTGATCCTCTCTCTCAGGTTTTTATACAAGAAAGAGACTGTACGAAGAGCAAAACGAGTATGCATCCCAGGATCCAATTCTGTCACAGAATGAAATGCCGATACAACCGTATGGATCTCATCCAAGCATTGGTTGTATCGTTCATCAACCTGAGTCCAATGAAGTATCACAGTCATAAAGCCAGTCGAACACCAAAATGGATATATGAATTAAAAAACTAGAGTTAAAAAGTTGAATGTGCAACTAACGCCCACAGCTTGCCTGACAAAGACAACCTAGTGATCAATAACAGATTTACTACCGTACTCATGTTCTTTTAATATCATAGTTTCAAGAGTTGGAATTTTACTGGTGGGTCAATGCACCATAGCTAATTTCAGCATCTCCTACAACTACATTTCATCACCTAGAATGAAATTAAGGCAGTTTTCCAGAACTGTAAATAATGTCAAGTTCATAAATAGTAGAGCCTTTTAGGAGTAAAAAACAAACTAACATACCACTTGTAGTAAAGTCAGCAATTGAGTTTTCTTGGCTTCAATAGTTCGTCTCCGCAATGAGGCATCAAGCTGAGCCCCAAAGCCACCATCAATATCTGGATTTTCATCACAATCCATTGGTGGCATCCCTTTCCCATAAGGGGAACTCGAAAAGAATGGAATTTTTGGCCCACTCTTCCTTTCACCATTTAAGTAACTCATTTCATCTAGATTTTCTAGCGAATAGCTTGCAATTTCAGCAAGTATTTCCTGAATTGCAAGAAGATACTTCGATCCTGAAATTAATTGGGAGAATTGAGCTGGTCCACAAGAACCAAAACTTAGAGAAAGCTCCTTGGAGTTGTGAGATGAATGTTCTGACTCCAACTTTGTTGCATTCACGTAATGGTGAGTTTCACCAGAACAGCTTATCTCAGAGCACTGATCACCAATATTTGTTCCATAAATTATAGGAGGTTGGGATGTGGCAAGACTTAAAGACAGCTCATTACTTTTTATAGATGAATCGTAATGACAATCTGGGGTAACATGTGCACCTGTTGAAATCCAGCCACTGGGATGCAGGTTTCCCACAGATGAAAATGGTTGAAACCCTGTCCGCAAAGGGATTTTTCCACAAAACTCAGGAGGAACATGAGACTTCTCAAAATCCCCCTTAACATTCATATTGCCAAGCACTTCATCATAAGCACAGTTCATCGAGGTTGCAAATGAAGAATTTAAATCATAGGAGAAGTCATTAGCAATGTTACTTCTATGATCTTCTGGATAGATAGAAGGTACTGAAATCGCTAAATTGTTTAGATTTTCTGGAAGACCACTTCTTGCTGCCAAAAGATTAAAAAGTGGAGCGGAAGAAATGGGCGTTCCCCTTTCAGAATGCTCTTGAAAGTCAATATTATCAATGCCCAGTGAAACATCTCTAATGGCGTTTCTTCCAAGTGATGTAACTAATGCATTACAATCAAAAACCCTGGAATGATTTGTTGCAGGAAGATTAGTGTGGATATCACCGATAGGTTCTCCCTGCAAAGCTGAAAGCATGGGAAATCCAGCCAATGCTCGGTTTAGGTGGTTTTGGTTGCTAAAGTCAAATGAATCTGATCCTACCACTGAATTTGGAATTTCATCCATAACAACAGAATTTTGGGTAGCTATATCTATTGGAGCATTGATAATTCCATTTTCCATGAACTCATAACAGATTCTATATCATTCAAAGATTTTTATGCTTCAATCATATATTAGGCCAGAGGAGCTGAACTAAAGGAATGGCAAACTTTACTCCTTTGGGAACTTATACCACCAAAATCAGCGGAGATCTGAGCGTACTGACATGCTTTCTGGTGTAGATACTACGTTGTCCTTGTCACCATTCTTTTTATGCCTTGATTATCTGCTTTCAGGAAATATGGACCTGGAAAAGATTTGGTGAATACTAAATAATCACATTTTACTATAATAACAAACAATTACATGTTATTCATACAGTGCTGTGGCCTGCAAAGGTGAACCAGAGAAAACACAAATAAAAACTCATGTTGCTAATCAACTAGTTTAGATGGTAAGGTCTCTTGTAGTTGACAAGGACTCGTGGAGTCTGATCACACTTAGGCCTGAGGTGAAGAGTGAACACTGGGGATACCAAAATTCCCATATCTTAAGCACTTTATTTAAACATCATCAATAATTTGGACCCACATTACCATAAACCAACTGCTAATTAATATAGTAGAGCTTTCTAATTCCCGGGACAGAACCTAAACTAGTTAACAAAAGCATGGACAAGTGAGACTTAAACCACAATCATACAGGATAAAGTAGCAGATTCAAATTTCGTGCTCAGAACAATTTAAAAGGAAAGAAAAGCATGAAAACTGGACCAACCTTTCCGTTCATTTGAGGAGGAGATATCAGCAACAGGTCCAATACAAAGAATAAAGATTTCTGCACAAAACTTAATCAGTAACAAACGAAGTAAAAAGGTGGAGAAGTGTCAAGCAGATACTTATTCGATTTCCCCAGACACGAGAAATATTTGCAACACTCAAAAGATAAAGTTGGTTTGTTTCTATTCTGATAGACACAACATGTAGGCTATTCCCCAGAGAACCCAAAACAAGCCATTGCAACGCAAAGTTCACATGAAATAATTGGTTTCACTTTGTCCATAAGAGAGGGTTTTCAAAAGCCAGAAAAAACAGTGGTACAAGACTTTTGTTTCTTCTTTAACAAAAAGAACAAGGCCAAAAAGTTAAGTATGCATTATGTATCTCACTTTTCTCAGACCACAAAAATAAAAAAGCCAATACAAAAAAGTGGTTTAATTTCTATGCATGAACAGAGAAGTGGGATTTTTTCTAAGAACCCAAAACCCAAGAAACTGAGATTAGCAAGATTATTCATGATCTTACTCTTACTTACTCCTCTCTCTTTCACAAGATTTAAAGCTAGAAAAAAACACAAGAATGGGTCTGGAAACAAATTAAAAGGAAGAAAGAGAATTTAAAAAGGCAAAATAAAGCTTCTGCAGAGAAGTGGAGATGAATGAAATGGACCCATTCATTAGATAGAGAGAGAAAGAAGAACCACACAAGAGTAAAAACAAAGAGAAAGAGAGAGAGAGAAATTGAAGGAAACACATTACTCTTTGGTGCAGTGGCACTCATATCTGTTGCAGGATTTAGAGGGCCCATCTCTTCCCTCTCTTTGTCCTCCTCACCATCTCTCAATATCTGCTTCTCTGCAATCATAATCATCATAATCAAAATATGTGGATTCTTTCTGTTTAAACTCCTGTTGATGCCAGAGAAAAGATATTTGCTCTTTTATCTATTTTAAGAGAAACGTGATAAGAAATGAGAGTAATTAGAGTTAGAAAGTCTAAATACTTTCGCTTCATAATCCAACAACTAAAGCTTCAAGGCTATGCAAAAATGAGCAACACCACTGTTTTAGCAGTGCACTTTTAAAGAGATCAATGTAAATGATGATGCAAGCATAGCTCAGTAGTGATGATAAAATCTCTGTGTCCAGATCTTTGACGAATTTATTGAAGCAATTACGAAGCCTATCTACTTGTCATTATGGGATTTGGCAATTTATAAGGTGTAATTACACATCATATAATGTGCATTATTATTGCAGAAGATGATGATCATCTTTTTAACTGAGAATGACTGTGCATTGGTATCATCATATCTTTTATTTACTTTTTAAATGGTTGGGGTCCTTGGGGAATATATCTCAACTCAATCAAACCAAACCCACTGGAATCCATTTGTTGTAGCTTGTGATGTGATTATACATTACTGGCTCTGCTCTGGGTCTGGGTCTGGGGCCATGCAGATGCTGCACTGCAGTCTGAACCACTAATGCGATTTTGTCTAAACTGTTACTTTAATTGATCACCCTCTCTCTCTCTCTCTCTCTCTCTCTCTCTCTTTCTCTCAGATTTGCATGAGTGTATGTTTGCAACTGGGGATTTCAATATCAATTTTAAAACACTAAAAAGACAAACCAATTAACTACTTTTAATTTAATTAACTTATAATTCATCCATGTCTAATTTTCATGGCTACGCTACACTGAAAGTTATAACACCACCCTACATAATTCAATATAATCTCTACAGTAACTATTGCATGTTAAAATTCCCCCCCAAAAAAAAAAAAAAAAAAAAAAAACAGAGTACTGGACTACTGGTAAAAAAGTATTGTATTAATCCCAAAAAGTCAAAGAAGTTTGCTTCCTTGTTGACTTTCTGGAGACTAGCTGAAGCGTGCAAGCTAGACAAAAACTATTTTAAATAATTCGTCTTCATTAATTTTAGAAATAATCCAATATATCAAATACATAATTTAATGTTTAAATGATTAATCTCATTACAAAATACCATAATTTTATAGATTAGGTCAGAATTGTAAAACTTATGTTAAATATTAAAAGTCATGTCATTTCCAGAAATAATTTTTTTCCATGGTATTTTTTATTAATTATTGGTCTATTGAATTTGTAGTGATATCGATTTTTTTTTTTTTTTTTTTCCTTCTAGGAATTTAGGAATGAATAGAGTAAATATAACATTTCTAAAAGGGGGAGTGATTTTTATCTCCCACCAAATTTATCAGTATCCCCCAATTTTGATTATATTTTTCTTTAACAAGTTTAACCTTAATGACATAATAATTTCTATATGACATGATAATTTTTAAATCTAAATTTTTTAAATCATTGAAGCATTTGTTTTTTTTATTTCAAATAATTCTTTGTTTGATGAAAATATATTACTAATGCTATGGAGAAAGTCATCACAAAGTATGATATGATGAATTTGAATCTGAATTTAAAAAGAGAAAAGGAAGTTTCAAATTCGAAATCGAGAAAAAGGGGTATAAACAAAAAAACCTAATTAAACAATTGGGGAAAAATAGTGTAAACAAAAACCCTAATTAAGTTTGAAATTATGGAAGTGTATTGTAATAAAAAACCGTAATTAAGTTTGAAAAAGGGGAAAAATTGTGCAAATAAAAACCCTAATTAAACTTAATTAAGCAAGGCTACTTATGTTATTAAATGAGGTTTAATTTTTTTTTTAAATATATTTAATCATAAAGGATACCAATCAATTTGATATACGCTAAAAATCACTTCCCTTCTAAAATTTCAATAATAAAGAATACGTACAAATAGGGACGGAGCCGCCACACTATAACGAATAGGTTCAATTGAACTCACTCAAACTTTGAAAAAAAAGAAAAAGGTTTTTTATATTTTATACTGTTTATAATTTTGACCCTACTTAAATTCATATGGAATTTACTCAAACTTTAAAAAAAAAAAAAAAGGTTTATATTTTATAATATTTATAATTTTAAACCCATTTAAATTCATATTGACTCCATAATTTTTTTTATATATTTATTAATTTAAATATTTTAAACCCATTCATTAAAAATTCTGACTATGTCTCTGCGTAAAGAAAAAGATGTTTTAGAGCACTAGGGGAAACATTCAGCGATGATGAAGCCCATCCTTCGTTAAACATCAGGCTCTATTGTAAAAGGGCCATGAGTCCGTCACTACCCGCCGAGGGCTCTGATATTATTCAGTTACCCGAAAATACTCATTACTTACCATGCTAAATTCCTTCACTCCTTCTGTCCTTCATCACCCATTAACAAAAAACTTAAATAAACTCAGATGGTATCATTGAAAAGCTTTTATCTCTTTCGAATTAATATTTATGTGTTACGGTCTTTAACATATAGAACTGTATTGTTTAAATTATCAAATAAGTTATAAATGTTTTAAAATAATTAATCGTGGTTATATCATATATGTATATAGTTTGTGTTTGTTAGATAAAAATGAAAAAAAATATATTTAACAAGATATGGCTTCGTTATATCAATAATACGATAATATGATATTATAATGTTGTGAAATTTTGTAGAGAAAGATATGGTATCACGATTGTATTACTAACGTGGCACCACAAATTAATTCATATTTGTCGAGTAGTTATTTCATTTAATAGCTACCGATCTCAATCATCGTGAAATTAGATGAACGAGAAAAAACTCGAGATAACACAAATTCAATCATCGTAAAATTAGATGAAAGAGAAAAAACTCGAGAAAACACAAATTCACTAGAGTTTGTATGAAGAATGTAGTATCTAGATTTTTTTCAATGTTGTATGTAGGTTTTGAGAGAGAGATATATATAATAGATTGTAGAAATATAATGCAAGAATTAATGAAAGAAAACAAAAAAAGGGAAGAAAGTGAAGTCGGTAAGATGGGTTTGATGGGCTAAACTAAAGTGAGATTGAGATGAGGATTTTTACCAGCTTGTTCACATGGCACCTATGGCTGCTCACAACTTTAATTCCAAGACAAATTTATATCATCTTCCTCCTTAATTACCTTGAATTCAGGGTTGACATTCAAGCCACACGAAAATCAACCTCTTGTTGATGTTACACCAAACTGTTTACCTACTATCGTCTCTTTTTAAATCCTTCTCATCAGTTTGATTTTGCTCTCTTTCTCTCTCTCATCGGTCTCTTTAATTAGCCTAGAAGCAATTGAAAACTGGACTCTCATACTATCATAAACACACAGAGCTATCAAACTTCCCAAACAGGAATCTCATGCAATTTCAATCCTAGAAGATTTATCACTTTCTTTCTGTATTAGAAAGAAGATCTAGAGTACACGAAAACTGGGGTCGTCTCTAACTACATAGATTCATGCACTCACAGGGTTCCATAATACATTTATATTATTTATATATAAAAAGGTGCTGAGAGGTCATTGTAATATTGTATCACAAGAAATTTACGTGCAATAATCAACAAGGAAATGATTTTATGAAAGTTTATAGGGGCCAGGCCATCATCAGCAATCCTAGTCAAAACCGATAGATTTAAGAAACCTGTAATTGCGTGAATATAAATTTTCAGATGTTGATTTGTAGAAGTAAAACTATTGTCTGTTGATTTAAGGAATAACTTTGTTGCGTCATTCTTGAATCAGAGTTAATATATAAATTATATGGGTGGTTTCTTCACTGTTTAAACAATTACTGAAAACAGAAAATGATAATATTTAAAATAATACCCCATAACAATATAACTGAATTCAACTGCCTATTTAAATAATTAAAAACTGGAAGAAAGAAAGAAAAAGAAAATAAAAACAAGAAAATTCAACATGCAAATACCAAACTAACCACTAAGATTTTAGAGAGAATCTTACGGGCGGCAACCACCTTTGTAATTAATTAATTAATCTCCATTATCATTCATGTCCTGCTGGTCCATGAAGAGAAGCCATTGCCACAACTCCAAGCTTTTGCAGATTCAACTTCACAACAGTATCCACGAACATCTTTGTATCCTCCCCAGTATTTCCCTCTGGTATATCGACTGTATAAGACTCCAAAACAATGGTGTAAACTTTCCCATCTTTAGTAAACTCATTCACTGACGTAACAGACCGATAATTTTTTAGCCTATGCTCTCCTCCAACAACCCTAAAGCTCAGTATATGTTTCTCGTCATCCACAATCTCTAGTCTCTCCGTGCTGGTTGACGCCGGGAGTCCTGAAACTACTGTCACCTCTCTTATACTCCCTACTCCACCGTCACCATTCATGTTACAACCCTTGATGAAGTGTTTGTATTTCTGGGGATTGTCGAAACTTCGAACAAAAGGCCACACCGCTTGAGCTGGAGCATCGATTCGTTGCGTTATTAGAGATGTGCACGTGTTTGGTTTTGGGTCAAACCTGTGATATGTGTCAATCAGAGGTTTGAGTTCAACGTATTCTTCTGGAGTTAGGCCTTGAGGTGGGTTTTGGGTGGAGTTCATGGCCACAAATTTAGCATGCAAGAAGGTGATGATGAAGGGGGTTTGATGGTGATGAACAAAATGATATGAGAAGTTTGAGAGTGGGAGAGGAGGTTTATATTTATCTTTGGTTTGATTTTTTTTAACCAACTTGTCACTTGTCAGTACCGTGTTTCTCCTTTAGTTTAAAAAGAGAGATTAGTTCTAGTTAGTTCTAAATTGCGAGAATTATAGTATGGGCATAACATGACTATATCGGGAAAGGTTTTGTCTCTACTTTAAATTGGTTTTCTCAAAAACATTTATCTCTTAATCCTATAATATAATTAGTACTAAGTGGCCCTTTATAACACTGTCANACAAAAAAAGGGAAGAAAGTGAAGTCGGTAAGATGGGTTTGATGGGCTAAACTAAAGTGAGATTGAGATGAGGATTTTTACCAGCTTGTTCACATGGCACCTATGGCTGCTCACAACTTTAATTCCAAGCCAAATTCATATCATCTTCCTCCTTAATTGCCTTGAATTCAGGGTTGACATTCAAGCCACACGAAAATCAACCTCTTGCTGTTGTTACACCAAACTGTTTACCTACTATCGTCTCTTTTTAAATCCTTCTCATCAGTTTGATTTTGCTCTCTTTCTCTCTCTCATCGGTCTCTTTAATTAGCCTAGAAGCAATTGAAAACTGGACTCTCATACTATCATAAACACACAGAGCTATCAAACTTCCCAAACAGGAATCTCATGCAATTTCAATCCTAGAAGATTCATCACTTTCTTTCTGTATTAGAAAGAAGATCTAGAGTACACGAAAACTGGGGTCGTCTCTAACTACATAGATTCATGCACTCACAGGGTTCCATAATACATTTATATTATTTATATATAAAAAGGTGCTGAGAGGTCATTGTAATATTGTATCACAAGAAATTTACGTGCAATAATCAACAAGGAAATGATTTTATGAAAGTTTATAGGGGCCAGGCCATCATCAGCAATCCTAGTCAAAACCGATAGATTTAAGAAACCTGTAATTGCGTGAATATAAATTTTCAGATGTTGATTTGTAGAAGTAAAACTATTGTCTGTTGATTTAAGGAATAACTTTGTTGCGTCATTCTTGAATCAGAGTTAATATATAAATTATATGGGTGGTTTCTTCACTGTTTAAACAATTACTGAAAACAGAAAATGATAATATTTAAAATAATACCCCATAACAATATAACTGAATTCAACTGCCTATTTAAATAATTAAAAACTGGAAGAAAGAAAGAAAAAGAAAATAAAAACAAGAAAATTCAACATGCAAATACCAAACTAACCACTAAGATTTTAGAGAGAATCTTACGGGCGGCAACCACCTTTGTAATTAATTAATTAATCTCCATTATCATTCATGTCCTGCTGGTCCATGAAGAGAAGCCATTGCCACAACTCCAAGCTTTTGCAGATTCAACTTCACAACAGTATCCACGAACATCTTTGTATCCTCCCCAGTATTTCCCTCTGGTATATCGACTGTATAAGACTCCAAAACAATGGTGTAAACTTTCCCATCTTTAGTAAACTCATTCACTGACGTAACAGACCGATAATTTTTTAGCCTATGCTCTCCTCCAACAACCCTAAAGCTCAGTATATGTTTCTCGTCATCCACAATCTCTAGTCTCTCCGTGCTGGTTGACGCCGGGAGTCCTGAAACTACTGTCACCTCTCTTATACTCCCTACTCCACCGTCACCATTCATGTTACAACCCTTGATGAAGTGTTTGTATTTCTGGGGATTGTCGAAACTTCGAACAAAAGGCCACACCGCTTGAGCTGGAGCATCGATTCGTTGCGTTATTAGAGATGTGCACGTGTTTGGTTTTGGGTCAAACCTGTGATATGTGTCAATCAGAGGTTTGAGTTCAACGTATTCTTCTGGAGTTAGGCCTTGAGGTGGGTTTTGGGTGGAGTTCATGGCCACAAATTTAGCATGCAAGAAGGTGATGATGAAGGGGGTTTGATGGTGATGAACAAAATGATATGAGAAGTTTGAGAGTGGGAGAGGAGGTTTATATTTATCTTTGGTTTGATTTTTTTTAACCAACTTGTCACTTGTCAGTACCGTGTTTCTCCTTTAGTTTAAAAAGAGAGATTAGTTCTAGTTAGTTCTAAATTGCGAGAATTATAGTATGGGCATAACATGACTATATCGGGAAAGGTTTTGTCTCTACTTTAAATTGGTTTTCTCAAAAACATTTATCTCTTAATCCTATAATATAATTAGTACTAAGTGGCCCTTTATAACACTGTCACTACTTTATCAAACCATTAGTTAATCAATAAACCATAGAGGGAGCATAGTTTTTTTTATTTTTTATTTTTATATTCGGATTAGTTTATGCGTACTTCAATTAGTCCATTGAAACTTTAAAATTAACGTTTAAGTAAGCTTCTAATGACTACCCTTTATTAGTAGTTGTGATGATTCAAACGTAAAACCTCTTGAATAATAATATATTTAAAAAGCTCAAACGAAACGAATTGCCGAACTATATAAAGATAGTTGCACAGATTCTTCACTTGCATATAAAGTCATTCATGAATTATCACCTTTGTTTAAGTAAATTAAGATTTTTAATTTGGGTTTAGTTTGTGTAATTATTAATGAGAAGGAGATGATGTTGGGATTTAAGAGTAAGCAAAAAAATGGGCATAAATGTAAATAAAAGAAAGGAAAGTGATAGAGAAAGTAAAAAGAGAGAAAATACAAAGAGGAGGTAAAGGAAGCAAGGAAGGCAGGAAGGAAGGAAGTAGTCGCCATTGTTGAAAAGGCAAGCTGGAGATTCGTGGATCATGTGAGAAGTCTAACAAACTCCCGCGTGATCTACAACTCCACTTTGCAGGATTCCCCCACTCTCAAGGCCCCACTTCCTCTCCATTATAACCATTAATAAACTGATTCCATGTTTATCTAATTATGAATTTCTGAGATTTAGCAGGGACTGGATTATATTTATACATATAAATTAATTATTTGCGGTGAATATGAAGCTTAAAAGTATTTACAATGGTCCACCAGTTTGAGTCTGTCAGGCTGTGAAGTCAAGAAATAACATGCACTGTTTATCCGGAACCTTTTAATTTGCTTGAAAAACAAATCAAAGTTGAGAAACACGAGAATGAAACAGATGTGATACAGCTCTGCAACGCATGGCTGTATGCGGAAGAAATGAGCCGACTGACCTTTGAGACACTTATTTTTCCAACAGTTATAGCCCATAGAGACATTAAAAAAAACTGTAGCCCTAGTTTAATTTTCCCACAAACTGTAAAACTACTGCTCTAAACTACTACAAATATAATTAACTTCATAGAAAAGAAACAAGGAAAGACATATAAATTTATTAATTTGGAAGGATTTTTTGACCCAGTTGTGTGTTGTGTCCCCTCGTTTGAACCGAGAGCTGCGTTGTATTTTGCAATGTCATAGAAAGGTCCAATTGGAGCATCATAAATATAAATGGTAAAGCAATGGTTGTTTCAGTCTGACAAGCCGAGGAGTCAGTACAGAGGGTTATTGATTTTACTTGATTTGTCTACTCTTGCTTCGGAGATAAAAGAATTGGCTATTGGGGAAAGGGTTGCATGCTTTGTTCGCAATGAGGTAATGTCCAGACATGAGACTTTGGAGTTATAATAGACTACTTTCACTTCTTCCAATCAAAATTAAGGGACTTTTGTCATCATTCATTCACTTCAACTTTGATATCTGTGCTGTTCCCAGCTATTCAGATAACTGATGAAAGACAAAGGAAACCACTGATGCAACAACAAAGTAAAAGCAACCTTAAGAGAACACAACAAATGAAGTTAAAGAGTATTTCTGAAATATATAAAACGGCAGCAATAGCTTGTGGAAATTTTTTGAATTTTTCTGCCATGATTATTGTATTACAAACTCATAGTTGCTTTTTTGTTTTTTGGTTAGAGCTAAGGTAAGACAGGCGAAGGATATGTTGGCCCAACATTGTAGAATTTATAGCATTTTCTGGGCCTGGTTGAAGGGCATGTAGCATTGGTTCATGATAATCATGAACAGCTTAGGCCTTAACCTTAAAAAAGAAAAGAAGACAAAAGAAATTTCACAGCGCGCAATTTGATAAATATTATGTGTTACGCAGGTAATGTCTGGCGTTTCATTAGGGCACAGCACAGATTAAGAATATATTAATACCATCAAAAATTTATTTATCTATTTAATACTTGTCTTTTTAACGGATATACTATATTAAATTTCATTGAAAAAAAGTCTTAGCTTTGAAGAATATTTTTAATAAACAATCAGTATCCTAGTAGTTGAATGGTGGATGGTTAGGAATATTATGGGTGTGTTAAACAAATAAAAAAGAAGGAACCGGCATGCATATAAATCTATTTGGAGCAGATAGACTTGATGAGAGTCCTCCAGTTTAACATTCTGATTATACCATTAAACCATGAGAAGCTGGACGTGTTATGATGGTGCAGATGAAAATCATATATAAAACAATATACATAAGACATGTGTTCGTGTTCATTGATCTGCTAATTAACATAACTGTTATTCATGTTACACTAATGGGTCCAATTAGAAGGTCGCATGAACGAGCTTTACTTTGATCCAGTGATACTGGTGGAGCTGCCAGTGTAAGCTCTAAATTAGGCGGCGCACCTCTACCTTTGAGCACTGTTAAACTGAAACAAGCAGGCTTGAAGTTGAACGATTCATTAAACCATTTAGGCAATGAATTAAGGGACGAAGTCGAAGCCAACTCAGGATCACAAATATTAATGCTTCCACGGTCCAAGTTGGTGGAGTTGGGATTGGTTGGGGTAGCATCTATTGCCTTCAATAACAACCCACGAAAATCAGAAGGTTCATTAGTCTTAGAACTGCCGGGATTAAGCATTTGATCTGAAAATGTATAGCTTCCCACCTGCTATAAATATTAATAAACTGAAAAAAAAAGAAAAAAGAAAAAGAAAAGAAGAGTGATTAAAGTGAGGATGAGTGGATAGAATAATACATCAAAAAGACTGGGACGGCGTTTTCTCTTGTTAAGGCTGCTCTGTCTAAGGAAATATTTCTGTGCATGACTCGCTACTTGTGTTGGAGTTCTTGTGGTCACAAATTTCTTAGAGATGCCTCTCCAGTCACCCTTTCCAAGCTTTTCCAGCCCAATCAGGAAGATCCGGTGCTCCTCTTCAGTCCACGGCACACCTGAAACCAAATACATCTGCATAATTAGAGACGTACAAGAAATATTGGTTTGATAACAGTGACAAACATACACGCAACTTTAGAATTAGAGTCTCCAAATTTAACCAACCTTTTTTCCTATCTTGAGCAGGTGCAATAAGGCCATCAGAAAGATAGCCATTAGAACTATGATGGATGGTAACGCGTGAAGATGTTGATAAAGAAGGTGTTGGTGAAGAAGAAGATGTTGACAGGGAATCAGTGCTAAAACTCTTCTTCATAGGAATGGAAGATAAGGGAAATTGAACTCCGAATAGCCTAAGTCCACCAGCAACAGCACCACGGGAGGTACAAGTCCTTGAATTATGGCCTGTGTTCCCGCAATGTGAGCATTTTCTACCCATTTTCACCTCACAAAACATCAACACTAAATTAACGGTGAAGGAGATGAAATTGTTAGTGGTATGGCTTTTATATATATATATATATACATATATATAATGATGGCTTCAATGAAAATATTGTTTTCTTGGTTGGATATTATTTTTCTACCCAAGGTTTTGTAATCAAGTCAATACCTTTTTTTTTTTCTCTCTCTATGAATAAACGACATCTAGTTTTAAAAGTTTGATTGAATAGACGTAAATTGTTTTTTATTTAAGACTAAAAAACAGTACCTCATACTAATAAAGCTGTTGGTATAATGTATATGACAATATATATAAACTGTACCCCCACTGAGAAGAGATCTCAATTAAATAAATAAATAGACAGGGGTGGCCCTAATTAATTATATATGTACGCCGTTAGTTATATAAATAATGATGTTCACGATTAGATTATGAACCGTACGCATTAAGATTTAAGAAATAAGAATATGATATGATAGAGAAAGGGTTGTTGAGTTGGAGAGAGTAGTGCAAATTAAAGGACCTATGTTTTGAAAGTGGGTAGCTTGGAATGACTTAAAAATGGGAGAAAGAAAGAAAGAAAATATTAGGGAGAGGAAAGGTGATGTTGATCAACCAACACAAATTTTTAGTTGGAAATTTCAATCAAGTTTTTGGTTTACACAATTGTCGAAAGTAAGATTTAATGCTTAGATATAACATAATCTAAATTAGATGACAAAAGGATCAAAGCATTTATATGTCATATCTATGGACGACGTTGTTCCCAAGCAAAAGGACCAGAAAAGTCCCAGAAAACATCATAAATTTCTTATCCTGATGGTTTTGTTTCTTGTTTTATTTACAAGAACCAATAATTTTCTCTGGTCCATAAGACGTACGTTTGATTTACATGCACTTCTTATCATCTCAATTCTACAAGTACTCCGTTGACTTTGTATTTAGAATGATATAATTATTGTAGCTTAAGAATACATTGGAAAACATGTATGGCTGAAAAAATGAAAACAATATTAATGATGAAGGAAGAAGAAGAGAAGATGAAGATGAAGATATAAATATTTTTTGCAATTGCATGAATGTGGGCGGCGGTGGCTATTTATGCTTGGAATTTAGAAAAAACGACATAAATATTACCCAACAGATTATCCTTGTAAATTTAAAACGTTTTGAATGAAGAAATAAAATGCGTTTGACTTCCTTCCTGCATATGAATGCATCTTTTTCTTCTGGTTTATGTAATTCAACCAAATGATGATCTGACTAATTTACCTTTGTGAATGGCATTGTGTAACACATGGGAATGGATACATCGAATATCTTGATATGGTAATTAGATAGCTACTTAAATTATTTCTTCATCTTACGGATCGGAGATAGATGGTTTTCAGATATTGCTAGCGTCATTGATATCTTGTCAACTACATTTAGACGCCATTAATTTATCAAAACACGAATCAGTCAGAGAGTTTCTCATCTCCAATGGTGGGCATGAAACTTGAGTGCCATAATCTATAATAATAAATGAAGCAGGACATTACCACTACCCTTAAATTAATGGTGATAGGTGAACTACAACTTGTCCAATTGTTTGATCCACCAGTCTCAAATAGGGTTTATTTGAAAGTAGAGATTAATTAAATTTAGGTGATCAATCAAAACCCCTACATCTGTTTTCATTAATTTAATCTATAACATGTGGATTCACGTTTTTTACTACTTTCTACTCAATCGTCTTATTCATTACATTAACTTAATCTAGTATATTTACTTTCTTGGCATAATTAAACATTCATTAATTAAGAATGTAATGAACATGAACTCCTTCTCCTTTAACTGCGCACTGCCATATATATATTTAAATCCACAATCGAAATTGATCTCTTATGTCAACACCCACAAAAGAGTTAAAAGCATGCAATTCTAATTGGTGGCACTGAAAAGAATTACACTAATTAATATTCTTGCATGAATGATTAATTATAAATATATTTTCCATATCTAATTGATTATGTGTATATTGGAGCACCTCACTGCCAAGAATTCATATTTGACCTATCAAATAAGTATCACATAGTGCATATAGTTTCAGCAATAATAATGTAATATTAGTTTAGTCTCTTAATCTTAAATCAAAACTCTTGTAATTATCAATCACCATGAGGGGATTAACAAGTTCTTCTGTTTCTGTACTTAATGATACGCTACTGCCTTGTAAATTAAGGGATGAAAGCTGACAAATATAATTAGTGGAAGCCAACTCATTTTAGTTTTATATTTCAAAGTTTTCATGACTGAGACGACGTTAGGTGCAAAACCCATCAATATCATATCATTTCATCTGATTATATTTATATATATAATTAATAAACTATATAGTAGAACAATCTAATTCAAATGTATATAAGAAGAAAGAATATTTACGTATATCTGACTTTGCTACTGCATTATTATTTACATTTAAACATGCAAGTAGAAAATATGATTGTACGTATTTAATTGTCATTACAACTTTAATTAACTAATCCCAGTTGGTATAAATAAAACTTTATATACATTAATTCCAGTCGGGCTGGCAACTGAAGTGAAAAATCAATTCACAATTGAAGTTGCTTTTTACACAACCGAGTCTGAGATCGACAAGATCAATATATACTGTGAAACTATTGAACAGTTGTTTTAAATTTTTAGCTAAGAACCCTAGGACAAATAATGGCCAAGAAGATGGTACTACTTCTTTTGAGAAGATGAAAGAGGTCAAACCAATCCGATAACCAAAATTCAACCATATTAAGCAAAGGTCTTCCGAGAACGAACAATAATCTGTTTCATAGGCAATTTGCTTGGCCACATCATTGATATCATAGGACAATTGAATTTTCATTTTCCGAATAACCAAATAATAATAAGTTATTTATATAGTTTAGGGTTGTTTGTGTTTTTGGTAGGACAATTGAATTTTCATTTTCCGAATAACCAAATAATAATAAGTTATTTATATAGTTAGTGTTGTTAGTGTTTTTGGTATTTCTGCCATTGAAAGAAAGAACAAATCTTGGATTGAAAGGAGAGTGGTTTGAATAATAATAGGACAAGTAGCTTTCCCAATTAATTTTTGACAAAGTAAATTAGTCAAATTATTCATTAAGCAAATAATTAAGTTTAAGGTAATACCTAACACCCTTTCTTGACCACACAGCACATCATCCCAAACCTCAAAAATATGATCTATTCCAAATTAATGACTTATCAACTAATCTCGGAATCAAAGGATAAATGTGAAAGCTCTCCAAATTCTAAAATTCTTGCAACGTACACCCTCTCTTTTTATTAACTACCTTCTCTTTTAATTATATTGAGTCATTTCTTGATTGTATCAAAATGATGAGTAATTGAGCCAAGCATGACATCATATATCAATTCAATGATTAGGGTTTAAGAGATATGTTCAAATATGATATTATAAATATTGGTTAGGTCAAACATAACCAACACTGCGGTTGATGAATTGTTTTCTTCACTTGAACAATATTGTTATTATTATTATTATTATTATTATTATTATTATTATTATTATTATTATTATTTCTTGAATAAGATGTAACAAAATTATAACCTTACACTAAATCATTCATTCAAGCCAATTATATATTATACACTTTATGTAACATATTGATTAATGTATTCATCATTTGTTATAACAATTAATGAACATATTTTACTATAAATAATTTCCTACTTAAAATAGATTTAACGTCATATCTAGATATTCCTAGATCTGGGCTGCAATTTCACTAGGAATTATTTGGGCACTGCTTCTAATAAATGATTCTTTCCATTAACTATCAACAAAATTTTGGTTTTCATTGATATTATTGATTTTGTGTTGAAGTTTTAATAATGTTAAGATTAGTTTGCCTTTGGTCATTTGAGCTCAGATACCAATCCAATTATGTGATATTACACTGTTTAAATTTTACGAAAATAATAGTTATTATAATATTATTTTAGTTTATGCATGTGAGAAACTATGATAGCCGACTTGTGTGAAATCGATCAACATGACAATCGATCAAAATTATGGTCAAGACTCTCCTCTTATCTCACACACACTTACACCCACCCTTCTAACATCATCTAAAATGACTAGTGAAAATTAAACATATCAAGAGCATAAATGAAAACATATATATTAAACATATCAAAAACCTAAATAAAGAATATATATGTAATCTTTTGCTACTCTTACCATTATCAGATTATTATAATACCCTTGAGATTGAGGGAATGTTTAGAAATATGGAAGAAACATGAAAGAAATGTGTGAGAATAAAATATGAATAGAGAAATGCATTCAAGGAAGAAATGTGAGAGAAGTTTGATAAAAGAACAATGAAAAAGCAAGAGAAGTATACAAGAGATTTTTTTTTTTTTTCACAAAACCTCCTCTTCCTCCACGGGAAGATAATAGTTCCTATTTATAGAGAAGTCCAATACAATACATACAAGTCAAATTAAAAAGCCATTTATTACATGGCTTGAGAAAATTGACTTTTTTGGATATTTTTTTTTTTAACATTTATTTGCTTGCAATATTTGACTTTTATAATTCATAAAGAAGATATTACATTAGAGTTGGCAAACTAACATTTAGTCCACGCCTATTTTATAGATTACATAAAGGACATAAATATTTACTTTAAGACACGCAAAGTTTTAATCATCTGATAGGTTTGTAACGTGCCACGAGTCTTCATCTTAGAAATCTAGACAACGCATTGCTTGGATCCAATCAGCAGGAATATATCGAGAAAATGAATCTAGATAAGTATCCGAAGAAATGTCTGGAAACTGAGATGGCTCCCTTGTAGAGGTACTTGATGTATATATGCATATACTACTGTCGCTTGGATTATGAAGGTAGTAATCACGAGACTGCTGAAGCTCTTCTTCCCACATAGTAACTGGCTGTGAGTCTGGGTACCACCATTTTGGATAATCTGAAGTGGCATTTAGTGATGGAACGCATGTTTGTTTGACTTGGAGTATTTTCTCAGTGTAGCCTATAGGAAAGAGTTCACATGGAGCATCATCGCGAAAAGATGGCCATATTTCATCTGGAATTATCTAATTTTTTTCAAAAAGGATTTTTTGAATTGATCTAGTCTCAATAGGATGGTCAAACATATTATGGACATGATCATATGGATAAGACTGATAAAACATGACTTGATGTTGTGAAAAATATAGGCCATCAGATATGATAGAGTGATGTCTATGAAAAAACATGATAGACCATGCCATTTTGGTGGACATAAGACCTTTGTATCAGGCAAGCTGATGAGCAAATACAAATTTTCATTTTTCTAGGGTTTTGAACAATTTGAGAAAAGTTATCAAAGAGTGTAACTCAGAGGTTGAGGATGACTGGTATTGAGAAATTATTTTCAACATATGATGGATCGGAAATTGAATGGTAATGTGGTACTGGTGTAACATATACCAAAATAACCATAATAATTCCTCTAGAAATAAGATATTTGGTCCCGGAGGTAAACAAAAGATTTTTTAAAAGGGGCAATCTAGATGGATAACTAACATATCATATATGGATTGTCCACATTTTTTAATGCATTGAATCTGATAAGAAAACATGAGGGTGGTAGCATTTTCATCAATGGTACAAGTTTGAACAAGGTCATCGAATTTAGGAGGTATGTTTGGAATATGGTTTGGTGAAGAAGATGATGAATAAGAACTGAACTGGGTTAATGGTTGGAACATGAAACATGGAAGTGGTTTGGATCTAGGATGCATGAAACTGACTTGTTTAGTTTTAGGCTGGGATAGATAATCTGTAATGGTATTGGTATAACCTTTGATGTGTTGAACAGTGAAAGAATACTTGTTGAACCATTCTGCCCATCGAAGTAGTTGTTGATGTGGAACATTTTTCTTGTTGAATCAGAGCATTTGATCAAAGGACTTCATATCTGTTTCGACAAAGAAGTGATGTCCAACAAGATGGAATTCAAACCTTTCAATGACATTTTTTACTGCTAATACTTCTTTGAAAGTAGAATGATAATGTTGTTGATGTGGTTTGAATTGTCTACTCTGGTATCCACACAAATGTTATACTTTGTGAACATCTTGTTTAAAAAGCACTACACCCCAATGAGTGTCACTAGCATCCGTTTAAAGAATTCGTTTCTCAGAAGAGGGAATCTTCAATGGCTGTGTATGGAAGGATTTGCGTTTAAGACTCTTGATTGCATTGGTTTGCTTTTCAGACCATGGTTGTTAGTATCCTACGATACACGATACGAATCCTACGATACGATTCGATACGGGTCACCAACAAATTTACAAACCTCTTGTATATGAGTTTTGATTTGTTTTCCTTATGTTATGCTCCTTCATTTGGTATTTTGCAGCCTATTTTGGTCCATTAGATTAAGACTAAGATTTGAATCATGAGAAATAAAAAGGGAAAATTAGATGATATTACATGGGAGCATTGTAAAAAGAATAATACTTTGGGTACTAATGGATGGGTACTAATCTGTGTACTAACTAAAGCATAGTACGGGTACTATGCGTATAGTACGGGTACTATGCTTTAGTTAGTACACAGATTAGTACCCATCCATTAGTACCCATAGCATCACTCTTGTAAAAAAGTGAATGAGGAAAATAGATTGCATCTTACATGTAACTATTGTGGTATACCATATTGGGGTGGTGTAATACGAATGAAAAATCATCTTGCTGGAACCCATATCCAAGTTAAGCCATGTAGTCAAGTTCCCGAAGATGTTAAAATGAAATTTCAAGAGTTGTTGGTAGCAAAGAAAGTTAATAAGGAGAATGATGATGATGATGATATGGTTGACATTTTTAAACAGCAAGATGTTAATCCCAATAAGGGTAAAATTGATAGTTTTCTTAGTAAGGGAAAAAAAGGAAGTGGTTCTAACTCTAAGCAAAGAACTTTAAATGAAGTTGTGAAGGATAGGGAAAAGGTAATTCAAGGTATATGTAGGTGTATTTATGGCAATGCATTACCATTTAATTTAGTTAAAAGTCCTCTTTTTGTTGACATGTTAAAGTTAGTGGGAGATTATGGAAGGGGATTGAAACCTCCTACTTATCATGAAGCAAGAGTTTCTTATTTGAAGAGAGAGGTTGATCTTGTGGAAGAAAAACTTGGAAAGTATAAAAATGAGTGGAAAAAGAATGGTTGCACATTAATGTCAGATGGGTGGACGGATGGAAAGGGTAGATCACTGACTAACTTTCTTGTCAATAGTCCAAGTGGGACAGTTTTTTTGAAATCTATTGATACCTCCGAATTTATAAAAAATGCTCAAAAAATGTTTGAGTTACTTGATAGTGTTGTGGAGGAGATAGGAGAAGAGCATGTTGTACAAGTGGTAACTGACGGAGCATCCAATTATGTAGCTGCCGGTAGAATGTTAGAAGAGAAAAGGAGAAAGCTATTTTGGTCTCCTTGTGCGGCTCATTGTCTTGACTTGATTCTTGAGGATATTGGAAAGATTGCGGTATTCTATGACACCATTGCAAAAGCCAAGCAGGTCACAAGTTTCATTTATAGGCATACATGGGTGCTTAATTTATATAGAAAATTTTCAAAGGATAAAGAGCTAGCAAGACCGGCAGTAACAAGATTTGCAACATCTTTTCTCACATTGAGTTGCATTATGGATAGTAAACTAGCTCTTAGGTCCATGTTTGCATCAGAAGAATGGGCAAATAGTACACATGCTACTACAATTAAGGGGAAAAAAGTGGTGGATATTATCTTGAGTGATACAAGATTTTGGAAATCCATCCAATTTGCCTTGAAATGTGTGGATCCACTAGTGGAGGTTTTGAGGCTTGTAGATGGTGATGCGAAACCAGCAATAGGATACATCTATGAAGCCATGAGAAGAGCAAAGAATCAAATTGCAAAGAATTTCAACAATGTGGAGCATCGATATAGAGAAATATGGAAGATAATTGACACTCGTTGGGATTTTCAACTTCATAGGCCACTTCATGCAGCGGCATACTACCTTAATCCTAAGTAAGTGTTGATCATTTTTTTTTAATCCATATAAAAATTGCTTGAAATTTGAATTTAGAAATCTAATTTATGTTGATTTTATATATTAGGTACCATTATGATCCAAACTTCAATCCGGACAAAGAAGTTAAAATTGGATTGTATAAGGTAATTGAGAAGATGTATCCGAATGTGGAAACAAGAGTTGAAGTTGATGCTCAACTTGACAAGTTTAAAAGAGGAGTAGGATTATTTGGAATTGATATGGCCATAATAACAAGAAACAAAAAACAACCGGGTATGTTTGCTTATATGTTTGTTATTTATTTATTTTGGTTATAACTTACTAATGTGTTTGTTGTTATTATTATTATTATTTTAAAGCTTTATGGTGGGACAACTATGGAGAAGAGTGCAAAGAGTTGCAAACACTTGCCATAAAAGTCTTAAGCCTTACATGTAGTGCCACGGGTTGTGAAAGAAATTGGAGCACCTTTGAACATGTGCATTCTAAAAGAAGGAATCGTTTGGAGCAGCAAAGATTGAATGCTCTTGTCTTTGTTAAATATAACCTTCAATTAGAAATGAGGCAAAAGCTTAGGGAGGAGAAAGGAGAGGCATATGATCCAATATGTTTATTGGACATAGAATCCGATGACGAGTGGATTATGGAAAAAGAAGATCCTTGCTTGCCGGATGATAATTCATGGATGGATGTTCAAGAATGCTTCAACATAGATGAAGGTGCTCCTAGCAATAAAAGAGCCAGAGGTATATCTTACTTTGATATTAATCTAGCAATTCTTTTAATAAAAAATTGAATGTACAATGTATATTGATAGTTTGATGATTTCTTTATAGGACCAAGGAACTTAAATGCTAGCAACAAAAAAGCTAAAGAAAAAGTTGTTGAAGAGGAAGATGTACTGCCCATTTTGTGTGATGAAGACGGAGAAAGTGAAGAGGAAGATTTGTTGGCTATTTTGCATGATAATAATAACACTAGTGAAGGTATAGATATTGACATTGATCTTGGAAATGATATAAATGGTTGAAAAGAAATGATATATATTCTTAAGTTTGTGATTAATTTTGATTATGTAATACCATAATTTAAAGTCAATAGTATCACAAAATTTGTTAATTGATCTTGAGGATTATATTAATTTTTAGAAAAAAAATTATTATTTTATTATTTAAAAAAATGTGTATCTTACGATAAGATACGATTCACGATACACGATTCGAAAAATTAGGTTTTCGATACACGATACGATACGCGATTTGACAACCATGTTTCAGATCACGAAGGAGGATTTTTCTTAAGCATCTGGGAAAGTGGAGAAGTGAGTTGAGAAATGTTTGGGAATGAAACTGTGCATGTAATTGGCAATTCTAAAAAATTGTTGTATTTCTTTTTTGGTTGTGAGAACATTTAGGAATTTTTGCAACTCATTAGCAATATGAGGCTGAAGGTCATACTTGCCATCAACAATAACCATACCAAGAAAATCAATCTTTGGATGTCTTAGCTGCATTTTCTTCTCAGAAAGCATAATACCATAAGAGTGTATGATATCAGCAAACTAGCGGAGAAGATGTACATGAGATTCCTCATCTTTTAAGAAGAGGAGAATATCATCAATATAAATGAGACATGTATGAAGAAAGGGAGCAAAAAATTTCATCATGGCTTTCTGAAACAGGGAAGGAACGACCTTAAGGCCAAAAGGCATGACCGTCCATTGGTAATGTTGGTTGGGATTGCAGAAAGCAGTCTTATGACGATCATCAGGATGAATTCCAAGTTTCCAAAATCCAGCTTTGAGATTAAATTTGGAAAACATCTTTGCATTATGGAGATTTGCAAAGAGAAATGGTCTGAAAGGCAGATGAAATTTATCATCACGTAGAAAGAAATTCAATCACTGATAATTGATAACAAGTCCGAGTTTTCCTCTGGCTTGTTTAGCACGTTTGTTGACATAAAAAGCTTCACATTTCCATTGGGAATCTGTGGGTTCAATCAATCCTCGAGATAAAAGCTGAGTACATTCTTGTTGGGCAAGGTTGAGATGTTCTGATGACATGCCAGAATGACTAGCTTTAGTGGGATTGATATCTTCGTTCTTGATGAATGGAAGATGGATAAAGAAATCAGAATTCTTCCATAATGGATGAGAACATTTAGTGAGAAAATCTGCATGAGAATCTACACAAGAGCAGGAACTAAGCTAGGCTTTGATCTACTTAATAGGATCGCCTTCAATCTGGAATAAGTTAGGCTGAGTGGTCCAGGATTGGAAAAACATATTGTACCAAACACCATCAGGGAGGATTCTAAGTTCATTGAGTTTAGAATAAATATCAAAACCTAGAACCATATTTTTGCCAGGTAAATCGGAGCTAAGAACTTTATGAAAAGTAAAACATTTTGAAAAAAATTTGGATTTTAATGGGTTTGCTAATCAGATGAGTAGTGAAAGTGTCACTATTAGCAGTGTAGAAAGATGAGGTTTCCACTGAGAGGATGGAAGGATCTTAGGGTTGATAATAGTACGAGTAGCACCAGTATCAAAAAATTCTATGACTGAAATGGGATTGAAATATTTAGTAGGGAAGATCTGAACTTTTGTTGTAGGTACGTGACATGAGAAGGCTAATGATGGAAATGATTGTGGTATTTGTTGGATATGGTAGAAATAGTGACAATCATCTGAATCAAAGAACTCAGTATCAGTGGCTGCAAACTGAAAAACAGTGTCTGAAGTGGGTTCTTCATCCATTGAAAACCAACTTTCAACATCATCATCAGAAAAATCTATACCAGTGAGCTGAGAAAGCTATTGCATCATTTTGGCTAACTGTTTGGGCTAGTTTGGACAATTTTTGGCAAAATGACCAGGACGGTTGCACAAATAACACCGATTAGATCGTTTGCCTCTGCGTTTCTTTTTCTGAAGAAACTTGTGGTACTTGAAACGTCGGAATTTGCGCCTAGTAGGAGCATTAGGTGGAGAAAACTTGTTGCGTCTAGAATGAAACTTCTTCTTGGTAGGACAAGAACAAGAGCGATCTGATTTGCATTTAATCCGCAATTCTGGTCTATGACAAACCTTTGTCAGCTGCTTAGAATGCTTCAGATAATCATCAAAAAATTGTTTTTGAGAACAGAGCTTTTCTAGAGCAAGAATGACAAACTGATAAATTTCTCCAAGAAAAGTGGAACCAAGTGGTTTGCTTTGAGACTGCCACCAGATCTAGCTGTAAACTGTGTAAGTATAGTAGAGACTTGAGCATTAGGTTTAAGCATCTCAGCTTGTAACTAGGCTTGAAATTCATACATCCGATTTCTCCATTTGTGTGAAGGAAGATCATCAACAGTAAAATTATAGAGCTTTGTTGAAGCTGTATAAGAGTCACGCTCAACCGTAGTATGACGGGATTGTCGATACAAAGGCAGAGAGTCTGGAATGGAATCATCACCTTCAGGCATCTCATCATCAACTTCAAAGACAACTAGTGGTCTTGAAGATTCGGGTTGATGGGTCATCAGTTGAGGATAAACATTAAGATGTTGATAAAAAATATCACTTTTAGAATCAAAGCTACTGTCAAATGATTCATCAGTAGAAGGCATATCAGCTTCTGATTCTGTTTGGAAGGAAGATAGAGAATCTTGAAAAATACCCGAAACTGCAAGACATTGCCTTTCTGCCATGTCTCTAAAAAAAGAGCTCATAAAATTGGAAGAGATAGGATTTTCTAAAGAGACAGGATCAACAAAAGTGTGGCGATCTTCCATCATCATTATTTGCATTGGAGTCTTATCCTTAGATAAAGGACGATGAGGTTTAGGAGATGAAGGATCTGAATGACTGGAAGAGAAAGAGTCAGGTATATCATCGGATGGTTCCCGCGTTTTAGCAGAATATTTTTCTAGCTTCTTTTGTTCCCGTTCGAGCTTAATCTTTTCATCACGTTCTTTACGGAGCTTGGCATATAACTCTTCAGTGTTGCCAAAAGCCTGAACAACACTAGAAGGTATGTGAGGCAAGACCAAAGATTGACTAATCGTTGGGAAAGATGAAAAAGAGGGTTGTGGCCATGCTGTTGGAGAATCAAAAGGATTTGGCACCAAAGACATTTCAGGAAAAGTATGTGGTTGTCTGAGTTTTTGCTTAATATATTCCTATTGAAGCGATGCCATTTGGGTTTTTAGTGACTTTATTTATGCTTTTTTCTAGAGAAATTGAGCTGAATAGCCATGAGAGGTGTTGACAATGTGCATCAATTCCTGATGAAGCTGATCAATTCGATTTTGGAGCTGATCAATCGATTTTTGTAAATGAGAAATCAGCATAGTGTGGTTCTGAGACTTGAGAGTCCACCTGATGAGCAACCAGATCCAATTTTTGTTCTATTCTGGTAATGGTTTTATTTTTTATGGGTCTTGAGCTATTCTTACCGTTTGAGGTTGTATTACACATCTAAGAGGTTAAACTCACGCATATGGAATCCTCTTCAGCTTTATCTATGTTTACTGCTCCAATAAATACTAGCTTATCTAGATCTTCTTCTAAAGTGGATAGTTTGTATGAAATATCTTATATCCTAGAAAATAAAAAAATCCAAGATACTATCCCTCCCATTGCAAATCCTTATACAACTTTTTTCCAAGTCTTCTTCTTCTTTGTCTTAAACCTTTAAAAGTCTTGTTAGACCTTCCAGAAAGTCAGTCAAAGAGTATGTCTAGACTAGTACTTTTGATAAATGTCAAATTTCAGCCACAACTCAAGAACAATACGTTACTTTGGAAATTCCTCAAGAATCCATTACCCAATAGATCCGTGAAGGATACTCTCATGTACACTTTGGCGTTATCAGGCTAGCTCTATCTTACCATGGCAGAAAAAGACTCTTAGTCTCTGTCCGAATCGCTCTATTAGATGCCAGATTTGTCCAATATCAGCATGCTTGTATAGAAATGGCACATACAACTTTGAATATTGGAATAGTCATTATGATACTGTTTCCTAATTTTAATATGTCTCTTTCTGATTTTCATTACTCCAAAGCTCTTAAAGTTCAATTATAGATAGTTGGTGCAGATTTAAATCCAGGAAGTATTACAGCTACTTTGCATTATCAGATAGTTTGGTGGATCCAAGACCATGCTCTTGATCTCGCTATTCCTACGACTACTAATACGCTGCTCCTTACTGCTGACTCTCAAAATACTTCTCATTGCATCAATATTCCCAAGCTGATTTCCAAAGATGATTTAATTAAATTGTTACCAAACTCTTGGGTGACGAGTTATGAGTCTCTTAATAAAAAGGAAACTCCGATGGTTTCTACAGAATCTACCATGCATGATAACAGTGACAGAACAACAACTATCAGATTCAAGTCTCCAACAATTCCCAATGGTCCACCTTTAAGTTTTCAACAAACTCAATTCATGATCACTCTAGTCTCACCTCACACTCCATTTGATCTTAACTATCAATGCTCAGACTGTCGTGATAATCCTATTTGGGAAATAGACTAGCATTATCTTTCCAGACGAAACCATTCCAAACGGAAAAAACAGACAACTCGATGCAGAAAAAAAGATCTTCACTTCAGATTTGAAAACCATGATCTTGAAGTTGGCCTTCTTGGTCAACCATCTAGTAAATTTGACTATTATGTCAAATATTCTCCACCAGCCTGGAAAGAATCACCATCCATTAAACCTTCATGGGAAATCCCTTCAAAACCTAAACTCAAACTACCTTACTTTAAAAAACCTTTACCATGTTATCAGTAGGCTTTCCAGTGGATTGCAAAAGAAAATAAAACAACCCATTCACCCCTTGTTCATACTCCACATGTCCAGTCCATTATAATGATTCAATCTCTTGAACCTCAAAAGACAAGACAAAATTTCAATTATGACATAGATTTTCCATTTCTTAAGGAAACTGCGACTCAACAACCAAAAGTGGTTCTTTCCAAAGTCATACAGCCTGATGGCTCCACGCCAAAACTCTCCGAAGCTGCAGCAGTTCTTAATTGGCAGACTGAAAATGCTTTAGCCCAAAATAAAACCATTACTAGAATAGAACAAAAATTGGATCTGGTTGCTCATCAGGTGGACTCTCAATCTCAGAACCACACTATGCTGATTTCTCGTTTACAAAAACAGATTGATCAGCTCCATCAGGAATTGATGCACATTGTCAGCACCTCTCATGGCTATTCAGCTCAATTTCTCTAGAAAGAAGTAGAAGTGAAGTCGCTAAAAACCCAAATGGCATCGCTTCAACATGAATATCTTAAGCAAAAACTCAGACAACCACATACTTTTCCTAAAATGTCTTTGGTGCCAAATCCTTTTGATTCTTCAACAGCATGGCCACAACCCTCTTTTTCACATTTCCCAATGATTAGTCAATCTTTGGTCTTGCCTCACATTCCTTCTGGTGTTGTTCAGGCTTTTGGCAACACTGAACAGTTATATACCAAGCTCCGCAGAGAACGTGATGAAAAGATTAAGCTCAAACGGGAATAAAAGAAGCGAGAAAAATATTCTGCTAAAACGCAGGAACCATCCGATGATATACCTAACTCTTTCTCTTCCAGTCATTCAGATCCTCCATCTCCTAAGCCTCATCGTCCTTTATCTAAGGATAAGGCTCCAATGCAAATAATGCTGATGGAAGATCGCTAAACTTCTGTTGATCCTGTCTCTTTAGAAAATCCTGTCTCTTCCAATTTTATGAGCTCTTTTTTTAAAGACATGGCAAAAAGACGTCTTGCAGCTTCGGGTATTTCTTAGGATTCTCTATCTTCCTTCCAAACAGAATCAGAAGCTTATATATCTTCTATTGATGAATCATTTGACAATAGCTTTGATTCTAAAAGTGATACTTCTGATCAACATCTTAATGTTTATCCTCAACTGATGACCCATCAGCCCGATCTTTAAGACCACATGTTGTCTCTAAAGTTGATGATGAGATGCCTAAAGGTGATGATTCCATTCCAGACTCTCTACCTATGTATCGACAATCCCGTCATACTACAGTTGAGCATGACTCTTATACAGCTTCAATAAAGCTCTACACTTTTACTGTTGATGATCTTCCTCCACACAAATGGAGAAATCAGATGTATGAATTTCAAGCCTGGTTACAAGCTGAGATGCTTAAACCTAATGCCCAAGTCTCTACTATACTTACACAGTTTACAACTAGATTTGGCAGCATTCTCCGTGATTGGTGGATTAGTCTTCAGGAGTACATACAAAATTTGTTCATCCAAATGCTCGATATTAATCAAGCTTTGTATCTCCTCTATGATGAATTTTGTGGATTACCTTACCTTTATGAGGACCAGGTCAGAGAAGAATATTTTAAGATGCGATGTTCTCTCAAAAAGAAAGATCTTGACAGACATTACAAAGAGATGGTAAAAAGATATCATATACTTAGGGGTATGGATGATCCTAACATGAAGCAAGCCTTTTCAGTGTCTATTCCAGAATCCCTAAGTCATGAAGCAACCAAGCTTATGTAGTCTCAAAGCAAACAACTTGGTTCCACTTATCTTGGAGAAATATATCAGTTTGTCATTCTTGCTCTAGAAAAGCTCTGTTCTCAAAAACATTTTTTTGATGATTATCTGAAGCGTTCTAAACAACTGACAAAGGTTTGTCAAAGACCAGAATTGCGGATCAAATGTAAATTAGATCGCTCTTGTTCTTGTCCTACCAAGAAGAAATTTCATTCCAGACGCATCAAGTTTTCTCCACCTAATGCTCCTATTAGGCGCAAATTTCGACGTTTCAAGTATCGCAAGTTTATTCGGAAAAAGAAACGCAGTGGCAAATGATCTAATCGGTGTTATTTATGCAACCGTCTTTGTCATTTTGCCAAAAATTGTCCAAACAAGCCTAAACAGTTAGCCAAAATGATGCAACAGCTTTCTCAGCTCATAGGTATAGATTTTTTTGATGATGATGTTGAAAGCTGGTTTTCAATGGATGAAGAACCCACTTCAGACACTGTTTTTCAGTTTGCAGCCACTGATACTGAGTTCTTTGATTCAAATGATTGTCACTATTTATACCATATCCAAAAAATACCACAATCTTTTCCATCATTAGCCTTCTCATGTCATATACCTACAACAAAAGTTCAGATCTTCCTTACTAAATATTCCAATCCCATTTCAGTCATAGAATTTTTTGATACTGGTGCTACTCGAACTATTATCAACCCTAAGATCCTTTCATCCTCTCAGTGGAAACCTCATCAAGAAGTTTTCTACATTGCTAATAGTGACACTTTCACTACTCATCTGATCAGCAAACCCATTAAAATCCAAATTTTTTCAGGATGTTTTACTTTTCATAAAGTTCTTGGTTCCGATTTACCTGGCAAAGATATGGTTCTAGGTTTTGATGTTTATTCTAAACTCAATAAACTTAAGAATCCTCCTTGATGGTGTTCAGAACAAGATGTTTTTCCAATCCTGGACCACTTAGCCTAACTTATTCCAGATTGAAGGCGATCTTATTGTGCAGATCAAAGACCAGCTTATTTCTCGCTCTTGTGTAGATGCTCATGCAAATTTTCTCACTAAATATTCTCATCCATTATGGAAGAATTCTGACTTCTTTATCCATCTTCCATTCATCAAGAGCAAATATATCAATCCCACTAAAGCCAGTCATTTTGGCATGTCACTAGAACATCTTAGCCTTGCTCAACAATAATGTACTCAACTTTTATCTCAATGATTGATTGAACCCACAGATTCCCAACGGACATGTGAAGCTTTTTATGTAAACAAACGTGTTGAACAAGCCAGACAAAAACTCAGACTTGTTATCAATTATCAACCATTGAATTTCTTTCTCTGTGATGATAAATTTCATTTGCCTTGCAGACCAGTTCTCTTTGCAAATCTCCATAATGCAAAGATGTTTTCCAAATTTGATCTCAAAGCTAGATTTTGAAAACTTGAAATTCATCCTGATGATCGTCATAAGACTGCTTTCTGCAATCCCAACCAACATTACCAATGGACGGTCATGCCTTTTGGTCTTAAGGTCGCTTTTTCCCTGTTTCAAAAAGCCGTGACGAAGATTTTTGCTCCCCTTCTTCATACATGTCTCATTTATACAATGATATTCTCTTCTTCTCAAAAGATGAGGAATCTCATGTACATCTTCTCCGCCAGTTTGCTAATATCATACACTTTTATGGTATTATGCTTTTTGAGAAAAAAATGCAGCTAGGACATCTAAAGATTGATTTTCTTGGTATGGTTATTGCTAATGGCAAGTATGACCTCTAACCTCATATTGCTAATGAGTTGCAAAAATTATCAGATGTTCTCACAACTAAGAAAGAAATACAACAATTCTTGGGAATTGTCAATTACATGCACAATTTCATTCCCAACATTTCTCAACTCACTTGTCCACTTTCCCAGATACTTAAGAAGAATCCTCCTTCGTGGTCTGAAAAGCAAATCAATGCAGTCAAGAGTCTTAAACGCAAATCCTTCCATACACAGCCATTGAAGATTCCCTCTTCTGGGAAACGAATTCTTCAGATAGATGCTAGTGACACTCATTGGGGTGCAATGCTTTTTGAACAAGATGTTCACAAAGTACGACATTTGTGTGGATACCAGAGTGGACAATTCAAACCACATCACAGTATTATCATTCTACTTTCAAGGAAGTATTAGCAGTAAAAAATGTCATTGAAAGGTTTGAATTCCATTTTGTTAGACATCACTTCTTTGTCGAAACGGATATGAAGTCCTTTGATCAAATGCTTCAATTCAACAAGAAAACGGTTCCACATCAACAACTACTTCGATGGGTAGAATGGTTCAACAAGTATTTTTTTCACCGTTCAACACATCAAAGGTTACACTAATACCATTGCAGATTATCTATCCCGGCCTAAAACTAAACAAGTCAGTTTCATGCACCCTAGATCCAAACCACTTACATGTTTCATGTTGCAACCATTAACCCAGTCTAGTTCTTGTTCATCATCTTCTTCACTAAACCATATTCTAAACGTACCTCCTGAATTCGATGACCTTGTTCGAATTTATACCATTGATGAAAATGCTACCACCCTCATGTTTTCTTATCAGATTCAATGCATTGAAAGATGTGGACAATCCATGTATGATATGTTAGGTGTCCATCCAGATTATCCCTTTTCAAAAATCTTTTGTTTACCTCCGAGACCAAATATCTTATTTCTAGAAGAATTATTATGGTTCTTTTGGTATATGTTACACCGGTACCACATTGCCATTTAATTCCCGGTCCATCATATATTGAAAATAATTTCTCAATACCAATCATCCTCAACCTCTGAGTTACATTTTTTGATGATTTTTCTCAAATGGTTCAAAACCCTAGAAAAATGAAAATCAGTGTTTGCTCATCAGCTTGCCTGATACAAAAGTCCTATGTCCACCAAAATGGCATAGTCTATCATGTTTTTTTCATAGACATCACTCCATCAGATTTGATGACCTATATTTTTCACAGCATCAAGTCACATTTCATCGATCTTATCCATATGATCTTGTCCATAATATGTTTGACCATCCTGTTGAGACTAGATCAATTCAAACAATCATTTTTGAAAAAAATCAGATAATTCCAGAAGAAATATGACAATCTTTTCGCGATGATGCTCCATGAGAACTCTTTCCTCCAAACTACACTGAGAAATTACTCCAAGCCAAACAAACATGCATACGTTCCATCACTGCTCAATTAAATGCCACTTCAGATTATCCAGAATGGTGGTACCTAGACTCACAACCAGATACTATGCAGGAAGAAGAGCTTCAACAGTCTCGTGATTACTATCTTCATAAATCCAAGCGACAACAGTACATGCATACATCAAGTATCTCTGCAAGGAAATCATCTCAGTTTCCAAACATTTTTTCGGATACTCATCCAAATTCATCTTCTCGACATATTCCTATTGATTGAATCCAAGTAATGAATTGTCTCGATTTTCAAGATGATGACTCGTGACATGTTACAAACCTGTCAGATGATTACAGCTCTGTGTGTCTTAAAGTAAATACTTATGTTCTTTATGATCATTTGCAAAATAAGTGTGGACTAACTAGTAGTTTGCCAACTCTAATATAATATCTATATTATAGGCAAATAAATGTAAAAAAAAAAAAATCCTAAAATTCAGTTGTCTCAGGCCATGTAATAAATGGCTTTTTTATGTGTCTTGTATGTATTGACCGGTCTGCAATTTCGCTAGGAATTATTTGGGCAGTGGTCATTGCTCTTCAAAAACTTGAATAAAAACCAATACACTTGGCTAGAAAAAACAGCTTACGCTTAGCAAAGAATAGCTATCAACTATGAATATTGATTCTGAATTACAAGCTGGAAACTATGATACAATTGAAAAAAAAAAAAGGAAAACTGTTGGAAAAGAATGATGATCCAATTCCAGGTACAAGAAAATCAGTTAGTACTCTCATTTGTTAGTGGATTACCTCTTCCTTATCTTCCATTTTGGAGGGCCGATTTCATTTGGTTGATATCTGATCCCCCTGGTAACACACAGCTTTATGTAAACAAAATAGTATGTCTATGTCCTCTTTGCACAGTGGAAGCCTCAGTAGGAAATACTTGTCAAGAAAAACTAGCAATTCCCTTTCCACTTCATATTCATGAATCATGGGATTCTTCCAGAGTCGAAATGGGAAGAAGGGTAACTCGCTGCTTCCCACTTTCTGATCGAAGGTTATCCCCTTTAAATCCCATCTGGGAGTCAAAACCATATTCAAGATAGCTTTAGATATAAGAACAATTAAGCTTCGTGTAAAGCAAAACTACAAAGACACGGTGCCTAGAATATTTAATTCTAAGATTGGCGATTACCTCAACAGCACTGTCAGGGGAGAACCACCGTAACAGCACCCCAAGATGTACAATAGAAGGAATTAACTTGAAAAGCAGAGGAGTTGTCACCTGCAATGATTAATGTTTGCAATTGACTCATAACCTGAAGGAATTATTGTTCCACAAACAATCATCATCATTTCCCATATATTTTGCAGGAGTTGGATCACCTCAGATGGCACAAATTCGTCAATTATATCAAGTTAAGACTACCAAAACCTTCACAATCACAAGATAACCCTTTGTTCATTAACAAACACTTGGGGAGAACGAAAATCCAATGTAACATTATTTGAAATTGGCATGCATAAATTCTACAAACTTCACATCATATTCCTTGAACATTATTGAATGATTGTCATACCAGGCTCAGAGCTGTTGTCCCAAGAAGCAGCAGGTACAATGTCCCCTGCAAATGGTCAAAAGTTAAGCTCTATAGTAGCTCATAGTTTCACATACTTTCCCGCTAAAAGCTAAGAGTTAAAACATCTGACATACACTATGAAGGACCTCAGTTTCTAAAATGTGAAGAATACACAGAAACCATTTTTGTAGCAAAAAAATTAAGCGAGGGATGTATTTCTGCTTAAGCACTGTCATGACTAAATGATTTACAGTACTAACCTCAACCAGATGCAGATTAGAAGCACGGCTAAGGAGAATAAATGCAAATTCCCCTATCTGTGCCAGAGACATTCCAGCCTACACAAGTGCACCGAATCAGGTTTCTTCAAGTACCAAAATACTCAAAAAGATAGCAAGCAACCATTACGCCATCACAAAATATCTTACAAGAACAGAGGTCTTGTTGTTGTAACCAAATCCCTTGACAACTGTGGTGACTACAGCTGTCTTTATGATGATCACTAATATGACAGAGGCTAATAATATGTCAATGTGATTCCAAAGAAAATGAACGTGGATCAGCATCCCAATGCTAGCAAGGAAGAGAGCAGCAAAGAAGTTGCGAATAGGTTCGACCTGCACATTTCAAAAACTTCAATGGGCTGCTCAGAGAGGGATAAACTAATGTATCCAAATTTTCATATCAGGAACCTCAACATGAAAGGCAACAATAGACGGACAACAACCATATAACACATTGCGCACGCAAGGTTTAAAAGTTGAGACCACAAACTTTTGATTCCAACATTATGATTTACTGTACAAGAACTAAAACTAATTGAAGAGAACAAAGAGAAATAGCCTGTCAGATGAATTCTAAAACATACTTCTTTGTGAAACCATAGAAATAACCACGTGAAGAACTACAAGTTTCTACCATCTTAAGTAAATTCTGGACAGATTCTAGCAGGAATCAATAATATTACATTACTCTTGGAGCTTGTTTTCTGCAAAGAGTCCCCATCATGCACACAGGCATCCAGCATAATTAAACAAAGAACGACAAACTGTTTCTGTTGCGGACGTGGCACACTAGAATGCATGCAAGGAACATAGCAACCATTGACAACAGAATAACATTACAGATGCATGCATACATATCGGGAGCATAATTAAAGCACAGAAATTTTTCAGACATAATAAAAAAATACATGTTATCTTACTTGTTCTAGTGTATGCTGAGCAAGATCAGTTGTTGATATCATTACTCCAGCGGCAAAAGACCCCAGTTCCAGACTAAGGCCTAGCTTATCGCTACACTGAAATCATACAATCAATTAGATAACAGTTCACTAAGCAAGTCATCCGAATGATTTCGCTTGTGTTACTAGCTTAAAATTATCCAAGAACCTATCAAGTTCATTATGTGCATTTTGGACCATAGAAGGGTAGTGGTCTATCCAAAGTATGGTTAAGAGAATGTAAAGACATGATTCTCAGGATCTTTTGAAGAGAATAACAGACCAACTATAAAGACTTATTCAAAAGTAACCAACAACCAAGAGACACAAACAGCCAAACTAAAGCCTTTTCTGCCAAGGCAGATGCACCAGTAGTGTAGTATTTTATTCTTCATAACCAAACTCCGCACTAACTATCTTCATGAAGTTTCAGTAACCATACAGTGTCCTTGTTACCTAACACACAGACACTTAAAATTGTAACCATATACCTATTTACAATAGAAAAAAAAATCATCATTGCAATTTTTTAACGAAAACTATCAAAGAAATATTCTAACTCAACAAAATAAAGCTAGGTTTTGCAACCACAAAGCAAACACTCATCTCAAGAGCTTAACCGTAATTCCACAAGTAAAACATCAAATTTACAATCAGATGTTAATATATGTATATATTGTTTAAATGATATTGTTTTCTCTAATCACAAAGTAAAAGAATTGAAGGTATCTACCAAGGAAAAAAGATGAGTGGACCAATAGGATTATTCTGCATGCCAAAGTAAATTAAATATACTAGATCGATCAAGAATTAGTAAGTGAAACAAACCCAGGCTACAAGCAAGCAGAATGCAACTGATGCCAATTGATAGAGTTCATTGGTCTGCACAAATAAGCATGTAAGTCATTAGATAGATCAAAGTAAAACATCTACTCACTCACATATATACATGTTTGTCAATTACAAAACAAGAAGAGTTGGTGGATTCTACTTTAAATAAAAATCTGTACCTGTGACGATAGGCTTATCATCAGCTTTAGAAACCAAGGAACACAAGTTCGAGATAATACTGACAAAGAAGCCAAAAAAGCAATCAACACAACCAACCTGGTCAAAAGGACAATTAGTTAGTCATAACTTACAGACAAGTTCAATACTTACACCTGTAAAGCACGAAAAAACACCCAATTATGCCCATGTTTGATTCTTAGAAACATATAATGGAATTTATAATTCTGGTCTACCTCCTAATTATATTGTTTTTTATTGGGTTTGGAAACCTTGATATAAGGCCTTATTTCTTGAGCCTTAATTATATTAGGGTATGTGTCTTTTAATATCAGTTAAGTTGACAAGTCCATCCTGTTCATAAAACTAAAAGTTCTGTTTCAGTCTTAATTGTTGGATCTCTAAACAACATTGGGATTATTACAGAGGCAATTTTCCTCGGAAATTTTGTCTACCATTAACATGAGGCTGATGTTTCATGGTCTTCAACAGGCATGTGGAAGTTAAACATACAAGGAAAGACTGGCCCAACTTTACATTTATGCCACATAATTATCCATAATAAAATACAATGCCCAGAGTTCAGATTGCAGGTAAAAAAAAAAGAGAGACAGAGAGACAGAGAAAAGAAAATCTAAGATAAATGATGAAATTTTCTGTGTAATTTGGATAAGAAATTACTTCTTTTTAACATTGTTAATTCATTGATTGGAAAGAATCCTCGTAGGAAAATGAGGCAGTAACAATTGATCCAATAATTTCAGAGCATTTGAACTTCAAAGTGATTTCCTTCTCCTCTTAGATCAAAGCCTCAAATTCAAAGTGAAACAGGAGCCTCACAGTCCAGTTATAATAGGACAAAATATTTATACCTGCAACTTTCCGAATAGTTTGTACAGCACAGAACATGGAAAAGTGAAATAGACCCATGGATGAATTGTTTTAGGGTCTACTTGGGAGTTTTTTTTCACTGGTTTTGAGGGGTTTTTAATTAGACTGGTTTTGAGGTGTTCTAAAACCATTATTTGCCAGATTTTTTATAGACTAGTTTTGACTGGTTTAAAAAGCCCCCAAAACCAGTGTAGTGTATTTTTGAGGGGTTTATAAAACACCCCAAATCGAGGTGTTTTGGCTGGTTTAAAAATTTTATCCCAAAAAAACTCATTTCTACTATTATTCCGTGATATACTATAATCCCTTTGCTGCAAAAAAAAAAAAAAAAGTCACAGAATAGAGGGCCAAAGGAAAAGACTGGCATTTCATTTGATTCTTCCTTCTCCAGCTTCTTCAATTCTCTCAACAAGGTTTGTTTTTCTCTTTCTCTCTCATTTTTTGTTTGGGTTTACCATGCCACTATAAACCAAAAGAAAACAGAGGATTGAGCACTGGCAATCTGGAATCATAAAGCTGTCATATGCAGAAACTGGTGTTTGTTCCTAACATTAATTGTTGGTTGGAGATGATGAATATCTCGTAAATAGACCCTTGTAAACTGAATCACATGTGTGAGTGTGACATGAAAATGATATATTACCATATTGTTTTTATTGGTTGCATAAGTACCTGGGTGTTTTTGTCCTCTTGTTTGATTGGAGAGAAAGAAAATAAAAACAAATAATGTAGGCATTATCTGTATTTATCAAAGTTAATTCAGCAAAAGAGAGAGTGTTTTAACTTTGTTTGGTTGTGATTGTGTGAAGAAAGCGAAAGATAGACAACATTGTAATTTACTGATTTGTACTTCTCTTCATTTAAATGTTTAAGTTAGGGAATTTTTATGGGCATATATATAAATTTATCAATTTAAAAAACTGTCAGAACCGTTGGAAAATAAACTCCTAAGCACAAGTTGGGTGTTTTAAAAACCGCTACTAAAAGCCCCTCAAAACCGCTACGATGGTTTACCCTCATAACCGTTTCGATGGTTTACCCTCAAAACCGTTTCGATGGTTTACCCTCATAACCACTACCATAAAACTCCCAAGCAGACCCTTAAAGTAAACTCAAGAAATGAAGAAAATGAGACCACAAACAGGCAATTTTTGGCAAGTTTCCATCTTACAGTTTGGTGATGGATATCATTCCTTGAAGAACACCAGAAGTCNCCTCATCTTTATGAAGACCAGGTTAGAGAAGAATATTTTAAGATGCGATGTTCTCTTAAAAAGAAAGATCTTGATAGATATTATAAAGAAATGGTAAAACAATATCATACACTTAGGGGAATGGATGATCCTAACATGAAGCAAGCCTTTTTAGCTTCCATTCCAGAATCCCTAAGTCATGAAGCAACCAAGCTCATGTAGTATCAAAACAAACAACTTGGTTCCATTTCTCTTGGAGAAAGTTATCAGTTTGTCATCTTTCCTCTAGAGAAGCTTTGTTCTCAGAAACAATTTTTTTGATGATTATCTGAAGCGCTCTAAACAACTAACAAAGGTTTATCATAGACCAGATTTGCAGATCAAGTACAAATCATATCGCTCATGTTCTTGTCATACCAAGATGAAGTTTCATTCCAGATGCATCAAGTATTCTCAACCTAATGCTCCTACTAGATGCAAATCTCGCCGCTTTAAGTTTCGCAAGTTTCTTTGAAAAAAGAAACACCGAGGCAAACGATCTAATCATTGTTACTTGTGCACCCGTCCTAGCCATTTTGCTAAGAATTGTCCAAACAAGCCTAAACAGTCAACCAAAATGATGCAATAGCTCTATCAGCTCTCTAATATAGATTTTTTTTTATGATAATGTTGAAAGTTTGTTTTCTATGGATGAAAAACCCACTTTAGATACAGTTCTTCAGTTTGCAGCCACTGATACTAAGTTCTCTGATTTAGATGATTGTCACTATTCCTACCAAATTCAACAAATATCACAATCTTTTCCATCATTAGCCTTCTCATGTCACATACCTACAACAAAAGTCCAAATCTTTCCCATTAAATATTTCAATCCCAATTCTTTTATAGCTTTTTTCGATATTGGTGTTGCCCGCACTATTATCAATCCTAAGATCTTCCCATCCTCCCAATGGAAACCTCACCAAGAAGTTTTCTACACTACTAATAGTGACACTTTCACTACTCATTTGATCAGCAAACCCATTAAAATCCAAATTTTTCCAAGATGTTTTACTTTTCACAAAGTTCTTGGTTCCGATTTACCTAGCAAAGATATGGTTCTAGGTTTTGATGTTTATTCCAAACTCAATAAACTTAGAATCCTCCATGATAGTATTCATCATAAGATGTTTTTCCAATCCTAGACCACTCAGCTTAACTTGTTCCAGATTGAAGGCAATCCCATTGAGCAAATCAAAGCCCAACTTATTTTTCGCTCTTGTGCAGATTCTCATGTAGATTTTCTCACTAAATGTTCCCATCTAGTATGGAAGAATTTTGATTTCTTTGTCCATCTTCTATTTTTCAAAAGTGAAGATATTAATCCCACTAAAGCTAGTCATTCTGGTATGTCACCAGAACATCTCAGCTTAGCCTAACAAGTATGTACTTAGCTTTTATCTCAAGGATTGATTGAACCCACAGTTTCTCAATGGGCATGTGAAGCATTTTATGTCAATAAACGTGCTAAACAAGCCAGATGAAAGCTCAAACTTGTTATCAATTATCAGCCTTTGAATTTCTTTCTTCATGATGACAAATTTTCTCTACCTTCCAGACAAATCCTCTTTGCCAATCTACATAATGCAAAGATGTATTCCAAATTTGATCTCAAAGCTGGATTTTGGCAACTTAGGATTCATCCTGATAATCGTCATAAGACTGTTTTCTACTTTCCTAACCAACATTACCAATAGATAGTCATGCCTTTTGGACTTAAGGTAGCTCCTTCTCTGTTTTAGAAAGCCATGATGAAGATATTTGCTCCTCTTCTTCAGACATGTCTTATCTATATAAATGATATTCCCCTCTTCTCAAAAGATGAAGAATCTCATGTTCATCTTCTTCGCAAATTTGTTGATATCATACACTTTTATGGTCATTGTTGATGGCAAGTATGACCTCTAACCTCATATTGCTAATGAGTTATAGAAGTTCCCAAATGTTCTTACCACTCAGAAAGAAATACAACAATTCTTAGGAATTGCCAATTACATGCGTAGTTTTATCCCTAACATTTCTCAACTTACCTCTCCACTTTCTCAGATGCTTAAGAAGAATCCTCCTTCATGGTTTGACAAGCAAACCAATGCAGTTAAGAGTCTTAAGTGCAAAGCCTTCCTTACACAACCATTGAAGATTCCCTCTTCTAGGAAACAAATCCTTCAGACAGATGCTAGTGACACCCATTGGGGTGTAGTGCTTTTTGAGCAAGATGATGACAAAGTATGACATTTGTGTGGATACTAGAGCAGACAGTTCAAACCGTACCAACATCATTATCATTCTACTTTCAAGGAAATATTAGTAGTAAAAAAATGTTATTGAAAGGTTTGAATTTCATCTTGTTGGACATCATTTCTTTGTTGAAACAAACATGAAATCCTTTGATCAAATGTTTCGATTCAATAGGAAAAAGGTTCCACATCAACAATTACTTTGATGGGCAGAATGGCTCAGCAAGTATTCTTTCACCGTTCAACATATCAAAGGTCACACTAATACCATTGCAGATTATTTATCCAAGCCTAAAGCTAAACAAGTTTGTTTCATGAACCCTAGGTCCAAACCACTTCCTTGTTTCATGTATCAACCACTAACCCAGATTAGTTCTTGTTCATCCTCTTCTTCACCAAACCTTATACCAGATACACCTCCTGAATTCGATAACCTTGTTTGAACTTGTACCATAGATGAAAATGCCACCACCCTCATGTTTTCTTATCAAATCCAATGCCTTGAAAAGTGTGGACAATCCATGTATGATATGTTAGGTGTCCATCCATATTACCGCTTTTCAAAAATCTTCTGTTTACCTCCTGGTCCAGATATCATATTTTCATAAGAATTATTATGGTTCTTTTGGTATATGTTACACCAGCACCACATTGCAGTTCACTTCTCAATTCATTATATGTTGAAAATAATTTCCCAGTGCTAGTCATCCTCAACCTCTAAATCACACTTTTGGATGATTTTTCTCAAATGGTTCAAAACCTTGGAAAAATGAAAGTGTGTATTTTCTCATCAACTTGCTCCATACAGAGGTCCTATATGCACCAAAGTAGCATGGTCCACATGCTTTTTCATCGACACCACTCTATCAGATACGATGACTTATGTTTTTCACAGTATCAAGTCACATTTCATCGGTCCTATCTATATGATCTAGTCCATAATATGTTTGACCATCCTCTTGAGATTAGGTCAATTTAGAAAAATCCTTTTTGAGAAAAATCAAACGATTCCAGATGAGATATGGCCATCTTTTCGCGATGATGCTCCGTGGGAACTCTTTCCTCCAACCTACATTGAGAAATTACTCTAGGCCAAACAAACACGCATAAGTTCCATCACTACTCAATTAAATGCCACTTCAGATATACAAGACTATCCAAAATGGTGATACTCAGATTCTCAGCTGGATACTGTTTAAGAAGAAGAGCTTCAACAGTCCCGTGATTATTATCTTCATAAATCCAAGTGTCAGTAGTACATGCATGCATCAAGTACCTCTGCAAGGCAGCTAGCTTAATCTTTAGACATTTCTCCGGATACTCATCTAGATTCATCTTCTCGACAATTCCTATTGATTGGATTCAAGCAATGGGCTGGTGTTGTCTCGATTTCTGTGATGAAGACTCGTGGTACGTTACAAACTTGTCAGATGATTAAAGCTCTTTTACAATCGGAGTTGTCAGGATAAAATACTATGTATATTAAAACAAATGTTTCTATCCTTTATGTTTATCTGTAAAATAAATGTGAATTATATGGCAGTTTGCCACCTCAAGAAGAATATCTCTCGTGTAAAATCCAAGAGTCAAATATTGTAGGCAAGTTTAATAAATGTTAAAAAAAAAAAAATCAAAAGTAAAAAATATCATGCTATAGTATTAAATGTAAGCTTTTGTATTTCTCTGTAAATAAGAGAATTTTCTTCTCGTTTGGGAGGAGGAGGCATTGTGAAAAATCTCTCTTGTGACATATTTTTCTTTCACATTTTTTCATGTTTCTTTCATACTTTTAAAGTCTTCTTCAACTCAAGGGTGTAGTAATATTCTGATAATGGTAAGAATAGAAAAAAGTTCTTACATATTATTTTCATTTGTGTTTCTAATGCACTTTTATTTCCACTAGCACTTTTAGATGATGTTAGAAGATGTGCGGGTGTAAATGTGTGCAGGATAAGAGGAGGGTCTTGACCATATATTCGACCGATTGTCATGTTGATCGGCTTCCATGTAGGTCGACTATCATAGCCACATGCATAAACTCCATAATCTTTTGGCACCATCTCTGAGGTCTA